CTCCAACATCTGCAGTTCCTACTATCTCTGAAACAGCATACAGTGGACTCGGTTTATAAAAATATTTGAATTGCAGCATGTATTTCAAAAGTCAAATAAATTTGGTGCTTCTACAAATACACAGAAGCACAAGATTTACCAAACCATATTGAAAACTCTCCCAGAGTCATAACTGGAAATCTTGCTGAGGAAGTGAACAATTATTGAACATTATTTAGAACAATGTGTTTTAAAAGTGCACCGAGGGGTTAGTGATGTGGACAGAACAGGCTTTTACGTTGGAAGCAGCATTAAAGCACTTGACATTCCAAGGGAAAGAACAGTCAGATGTACGGTAAATAAAATCTCTCCCCAAGTCCGAAGAATATGCATTAATCTCCAAAGCAAATGGCAATTTCCCATTAGAATTTTTAATATTCCGACCATAATCCTGAAGGTTCTCTGAATGTGGGTGTCAATTTGTGTTTATTTTAGAAAATTAATTCTCTTAACCAGTATCCTTCAAAAACTGAGGTTAAACACATTAAGTTAATTTGATTTAGGAATGAGTCAGTAATTCCCTCGGCTTGGACTTAATTTGAACTCAACTCTCCCTTACTACAACAATGCTTCTAAATTTTGTTTTTTGTAATCTGTATTCCGTTTCTTTAATTTTTTTTGATCAAACATGCTTTCTAATATATTACATTAAAAATTTAAGAGATGTATGTTTTGGGGAAGTACATTCAACAGACACCAGCTGTTTAGGGTATATTGTGCTATTTCAAAATTACTATCAAAAAGATATTATGTTCTAACAGCAGGGGCTTTTCATTAATAATCCCAATGAGTCTGTTCAGTTTCACATTTGTTTTATTTACATATACATAATGACTGAGCAGCGTGCAAATACAGTATTAGGTCTGGGTAAAATAAGTATCGTTCATTTGGTCATACTTCAAGAAAATGTTACTTTATGTTGCTGATTAGGATAAGAAGGTAATGGTTTAAGTTGGCAAAAGGTAAAGTTAGGACAGCTATCAGAATATTTTTCCTTATGTAAAGGATAGTCAACATGTCGAATTGACTTCAAAATACAGTGGACAAGGAAATCCTGAATCCAGATGGGAAGCAACTAGGCACTTTAATGTGGGGAGTTGGAGGATTTTCCTGAATGGATGAAACAAGGGAGTATAATTTTGGTGGAGATGTTGAGGCAGGATCAGAGGGCAAGGTTTCAGCAACTTCCCATTACTGGCCAACATGGTGTTCTGCCACCATGGTACCACTTTTGAGTTGTTTTGAAGAGGGCTGCATCAAGAGGGGTAACTGCCACATGCCCACCAGCAGCAGGTAGCCAAGTAAACTGCCTATTGAGGGAAGTAATCAGAGGCTTTCTGGAATTTTCCAAGTAGCATGTGGGCCTCCTATGGAGGCCGAAGCGGAGAAAATGAACAGAGCTGGCCACCTGTCAGTCATCATTGTTGCATTGAATTTAAATCCACCCACCCCAGCAACTGCCAGAGGGCCACAACAGCAGATCATGCTGTAGAGGGTTTTCCGTTCTACATGACAGTCTGACAGCTGTCGCCACTTATTATTTAACCTATAGGATGCCACCATCTATTAGATAGCTTTGATAATTTCATACCATTACCGTCAATGTTTATGGCAGTTATTGCCAAACATTTTCCCAATTTGATCCCATTTTAATCCCACAGACTGTACGTGATACCAGAGTGAAACTGGAAAGGACCTGGCACAGGGAGGGCTATGCGAATGGAGTGACGGGGATTGTGTGGGTTAAGAGATGTTTGGTTAGGGTGCAGGAAAATATTTATTGATTGACTCTCAATGCCCCCAAAACCATTCAGCAGAGAGGTGGGGGTGTTAGAACTGTTGAGTTTGCCCTGAAAAAAAGACCTATATATTTTTTTTACAGGCTATGGTTATGGCAGCAGTCAAGCCACTTAAAGCAAATGATTAAGAACAAAAAAGCATTGCAGCTCTCAAAAATTCAGTCTGTGTTCCATGGCTGCTAGTGTTACCTCAAGAGCTTGCAAATCCTACAATTCCACTGGGGGGCACAATGGCAACTTAGAAATCCTTATTTATGGTTTAATTTGTATGCTGCTGAATGATTTGATTGGGTTATTGGTATCCACGGATAACATGCTTTAATAATTGAATGCATGTTCCACCTGCCACTCAAACACTTGCATAACATTGTGATCCAAGCAAGGGTCCATAAAAACAACACTGATGGTGGAGCTGCCAGTCATCAAATACTACATATCTTTCTGTTGGTGCTGCCAGACCTGTTGAGGTTCTCCAGCACTTTATTTTTCTTTCAGCATCAGCAGTATTTTATATTGCTTTTATATGGCTTTCAGTGGACTTTCCGGTCATCCTTAATTGACTGGGGCTCCCAAAGATAGTGCCTTAATTTGCTTGTTCTCCAAAATCTCCCTATGGGTCAAGCTGTTGGCACTTGTGTGTTCCCAAACAGCATTTCATCTCAAAGGCACAATGGGTACCTGGTATCAAAAATTCTGCTCAAGATGAATCAAATGGACTTCCTCATTTAATAACTTAGTAATGAAGTTTTGGTTGACAACCATTTACAAAGCATAATTCAAACTTCTATGATTTCCCTTTCTTCATTTTAGCAACCTTCTCTTTCCTTTTCTTGACGTGTTTAGGTACTTTGTTTCTTCGTTTTTCTCGCTGCGCTTCTTTAACCATTCTTTTTCTGTCCTGTAAACAGATACAACATTATTCAGGTACGTATAGTAAGCGCAGATGGAGTAATTTGAATAACTTAGTTAATTTTTTTACAATGACTCATTCTGAGCCGTGGAAATAGTGCAACTGACAATTACATTGACACAAGTTATAATTTCTGGAAAAACGTTTACTGCCAAAAAAAACAGCATTAGTCGTAAAAGTTAACACTTCAGTAGTTTCAGTATTCATTGCAACCAAGTAAGCCCTATCATTGTTCATAGGTGATCAGGGACCTTGCTCCATGACTTACTTTCTTATGGCTCTTGAATATGATTGGCCCATGAACAGATGTAAAGGGAAAGAATAAGCGCGATTAAACCTACTTCAATCATTCTTTGGTGCAATGTCATGTCACCCAGTCATCCCTATCAATGCTAACAAACCCAGCCAACCACCCCAACTCAAATTCCTTGGACTTGATGACAGCAGCCAAACTTTTCTCAATGGATAGGGTTGGAATTGGGATAGAATCCAATTATTCCAGGTAACTCTTTGCGTGTTCTCTCTAAATTTCCAAATCATATCACCTACAGTCTCGGTCAGTCGAGGCTGAATTGCACCCTGTCTCTAATAATTATGAAGAAATCTGGATTTCACATTTTAAGCACTATCATTATCAGCTGGCATTAATAGTAAATACAAAAAAAGTTACAAATAACAGAGTAATTGTTATTCGAGCTACTTAAATACTAGGTAGCAAAATTTTACTTTACACACATACATTGTACAGTGCACATCAGCAATAAAATCTAATTTGCAGCACCTAACTAATCAAGCAAAGCAAAATTAATCATCAGTTTGAAACTTCAGTATTAAAATTACTTTCTGTACCTTAAATGTACCACCTATAAAAATACTAAGCACTCTCCATCACTGCATGATTGCTAAAGGAATCCGATTATCAAATGAAAACAAACCTTTTTGTTAGTTTCGTCTTCCTGCACACAGTCTTTAGGATGAATCCTTTCTCCTTCAGAACCAAGCTCGGAGTCAGAGCTATCATTATCAGATTTAGAGTTTCCATCACTTTCTTGCAAATTCTCAAGGAGAGCAGGTACCTGGTATAAATAAAAATGTATTAATAGAAAATAATCTACCAGCCAAAATCTGTTAAATTAACTTCACAATAGGAGTCAATTAACTGATACATTCATTATTACTGCAGTTAAATGTACAATAATCATTCAATTTATCTAATTTGTTTTTCCTCTAAAACAGGGAAAGATCTTAACAAGCCTAAATATCTGTCTCAATAAATCTCAAGATTTAATCAGCTCAAATCCACTTGTATTATTTACTTAAATGCCTTTCTGAAACGTTGTCCTTCAATACAATAAATATTTTGCCCAAATCAAGTTTGGCTAAACCCCTTTATAACCATGACTTCCTTAAACTTCTCTTGTAACTTAAATCAGATCCTGGATCCTTCAAGGAACCAGTGGGCATACAAGATTCTTTAATGTGAATATATTTGACATTGTAAGTGACAAATCTTACCTGTTGCACACCACTCAAGTCTTTCTTCATTCCTGTCACTGTCTGATACAGAATCTACACAAAAATAAAAGTTCAGTTTTGTGGTTTTAAGTCTCTTAGTGTAACACAATTTTAAATATTATGGTTTTCTGATGATAAATGATATAACAAAGATTAGGCATAGAGATATCCATAAAGCATTTTTTCATTTTCAATATATTTCAAAGAGTAGATGTAATTGGTATTTATAACAGGTATATTTTGAAACATTAATTTAAAATCTGTATAATTAGCACTGAAGACAAGAAGTGTGCACACTACACTATTAGCTTGGAATTACTTGAGAACAACTCGTAGGTCACAAAGCCTGTTGCAATGAGACATACGAATTTTACACTTGCATTTTCTTAGGTCAGAACTGAGAAAGTTTCACTTTGCAGTGGACATGCTAATACTTTGCTTGATGCTGATATAGGTAGCTTAAGTAGGGAGGTGTCCTACACCATGCATCACCATCCTTCAGTTAGACCATAGATATCGCAAAACAAGCAAACATGGATGTATATACACATAGAAAGGCCCACTTGCTACACACAATGAAAGGATAAATTGCTAGCTGTTGATTGTTTCCGAGGCTGGACGTAAAACATTTTTTTGTGGCATTCCTTCTACATAATCAATTCATTTCTGTACTTAAGATGCTGAGAAGCATGAATTAGTTTTTGCCTCAGTGGCAATGGAATTGTTTTTATCGTTCACCTAAATTACAGCTGCCCAGAATTGTTTTTGCGGGTTTATTAGCAAAGATTTCTATTAATCTATTGTCTGATTCAATGTGGCAGCCTTTACTCGATATCTGTGGTATCCATGAAGAGAACAAGAAAAATGAGATTCTTCAACCAAATAAGTTGAATTGTCTCTAGTGAAAAGGAGATTGTAAAGAAGGAAATAAGGAAAGGAAATATGTATATATGTAAATGATTGCACAGAATGTGAAATAAAAGGTCGGGCTATACAGATGGAAAGCAGACATTTTAAAAAATTTGTAATATTAAATTTTGAGGGAAAGTGCCTCCACATGTGTAAAATTATTTTTACAGTGCTAGAGATTGTTTAATAATTTTGATCCTTCATCACTCTGAACAATACTATCAACTTTAGTATGGAAGTAGTGGGTAAGTAACATAAATTCATGACATTTTAGTGATTTCAATGCTATGTCTATCAGCAAGTACTGCAAAAATTAATCCTCTGAAGGAGTAAAGTATCTGAAACCAATCCATTGAAATCTGCATTTACCTATACCCATGTTAATATCAAATGCTGTTGAGATATAGCTTTGCTGTTACTGTTACAGAATAAAACCTGACCAGTGCATTGACACCCACTGCCAAGAGAAACAAAAACTTTCAATGCTCCAGCTGAAAAGACAGCAGCAATAACAATCTGTCAGAAGAACAGCTTCTTAGGGGTAGGAAATTGATTAATTAATTTTTAAAAAAAAACATGATTTCCACAAATACACGAGGATAAGGCTAATGCTCTCCTTGGAGCACTCTTTTAATTAGCAGCAAAAACACTACAATATTTTCATGTAAAACTTCCTGAAAGCAAATGGCATATACACCGACTCACATTGTCATGCTCTAAATCTGTAGTCCTATCTTCTTCCTTGCGCTTCATCATTATATCAACATCCCGTTCATAATGTTTCACTTCATTCAGTGTCCTGGGTATGTAGGCATTTTTGAACACCTATGCAAACAGCAATTTATGTATTTACAAACCACTGGTCAGAATGAACAGGAATATCCAAATCAATATCAAATTAAGAATTTATTTTTGTCAGATTGCATTATTCCACTTCTCCTCATCCCACTATTCAAGGTTACACAGCTAGAAGGAATATTTAACCTAGAAAACAAAATATTGAGGATTAGATTCAATGCTATTTGTAAGAAAAAAAGTTTATTTTATTGACTGTGTATGCACTTTTGTGCATAAAATAATTCAATAGCCAGTTTGATCAGAGCATAGTACTTCCACCTTTGAATTTGAAACTTGTACAAGGCCCCTTCAGGCACTGGGCATATAACTGCAGTATTTTGGGACTGAGATAACAAGGTGTAGAGCTGGATGAACACAGCAGGCCAAGCAGCATCAGAGGAGCAGGAAAGCTGACGTTTCGGGTCTAGGCCCTTCTTCAGAAAATATTCGGGTCTAGACCTGAAACGTCAGCTTTCCTGCTCCTCTGATGCTGCTTGGCCTGCTGTGTTCATCCAGCTCTACACCTTGTTATCTCAGATTCTCCAGCATTGGCAGTTCCTACTATCTCTGTAACAGTATTTTGGGACTGCTGTGTTATTCGAGGTCCTGTCTTTCAAATGAGATTCTACAATGCAAAATAGGAGTTTTGACTGACACTGCAAGAAATTGGTATTTTGCAACATTTGTTGAAGTTTGAGGTTTCTTACTACATGCAAACTGGCTGATACGCTTCTCTATGTGAGAACATTAATGAGACTTCAAACCGTAGTTAAATATGAAATTCTTTGAAATCTTCCAGGATGAAGATCTGAACTGTCTCTGAGACAGAGTGGATTGAGGTGCCTTCCTCCAGGAACTCTTACTCCTATTGAAAGTTTAAAGCGGATATGGAATTGGGATCGCATTTAACTATAACTGTAGTAATAGTTAAGTGTGCTAAAATAGAAATGAAGAATAGTAGAATTGAAACACATTAACAATTAATCCAAAAGTTATTTTTGTATTGAAGCCAACACATATGCTTATTTGTATGAAATTACTTTGTCTAGATACGGTAACATCTCAATAGATTGCGGTTTATTTTTGGTGTTAGGAAGTGCTCAAGATAAATTATAATGGAACTGGAGATGTATTAGAAAATATTTGCAAGAGAAAGCCAAAATATAGACAACAACACCCCAACAGGGGATATATACCTCTTCATCTACTTTGTCCTGGTTGGATCGTTCTTCTTCTGTTCTTTCTGCAGCTATTTCCATTGCCTAATTAACAGAGGTACAACAATGCTTTTGTTAAAAGGTTCACAATTTCTTTCCTGCTCAGAAGATTACATTTTGTTCTCACATACTATTGTGCAACACATCCATTCACTCTGGCATATTATTCATAATTGAATGATTTTGCATCGATAATTATTTAAATGTCAAGTTCTGTGCTACAAAAAAAAGTTAACTGACAGGTTAATCACTTTAGTAATTAATGATTAGGCAATATAATGTATCTAATTCTAGACATTTTTCTGTAGTGCTGAGCAACTGGAGAAGCTGGTCTTGTTCACCTTAGAGAGAATAAGTTATGGACATTTAATAGAGATGTTCAAAACTGAGGGGTTTTCAAAGTGTAGCTAGTGAGAAACAACTTTTACCGGTAAGAGGGCCAACAATGAGAATGCAAATGCCAGAGGGGAGAGGGGGAAGTTTTTTTTAAAACTCTGAGCTAAGACAGTCTGGAATGGACTGTCTACAGGGGTGGTAAAATGGTAACTTTCAAAAACAGAAATGGACCTCTACTTCAAAACAAAAACAGGGTCATAAGAAAATATAATGGGACTAATTGAATAGCTTTTTCAAAGAGCTGGCACAGGCAAAATGGCCCAGATTGCCTCTTTTTATGCTGTATGAGTTTAACCCTAAAAACAATGACACAGGTGTTAAATATGTACTTCTTGAACTGTTCCATACACTTTTTACACAAAATTATTACAAAATGTGTCATTACAGTATAAGAAATACTTAGTATTAATTCTCAACTATTAGTATTTGATAGGATTCATGTAATCACTGAGCTCATTAGCTCCACAATGACACTTTATACAGTTGCTATATATGTGTAGTATACACATTCACACACACATTAAATATTGAAAAACTACTCAATGGGCAGCAATCAGCAATAAAGTCATTACTGACTATGTTTTACTGCCCATTGAAATTTCCATAAAGTTCTAAGTATTAAGTATTAATATACTTTTAATCAATCCAATCTTTATTTTATTGATTATGGAATTCAAAAGGAAACAAAACTGAGCAAAATGTTCAAGCTGTACAGTATGCAAATTGCTGTATTCTAATGGCAGTGTAAAAATTCAATATGTGACAAGTATGCTCGACTGTGATTAGGGTAGTAACTGACAATAGTTTAGGGTATATTCCCTACGAGCAGGTTAGGTGGATTGGCCATGCTAAATTGCCCATAGCATCCAAGGACGAACAGGCTAGGTGCATCAACCATGGAAAATTCAGGGATAGGGTAGGTGGGGTGGGTCTGGGTGGGATGCTACTCGGAGGGTCAGCATGGACTTGATGGGCCGAATGACCTGCTTCCACACTGTCAGGATAGATGAGGTATGTGCACGAAATATCACAACAATCAGCACTGATTAAAGATTAACCTTCTTTTCTGGATCTTGTTGCTTGAAGAAATATTTCATTTTATGAAAATACAAATGTACAAAATCCTACCTTCTCAAGGTAAGCATCAAGATTATCTTCCATTATTGAAGGGTCAGTGACAAATTCAAAAAGTTCTCGCACAGTCATCACAGCAACACCATGTTTACGAAAAAAATCTATCAAAAAAAGGATGCAATGATGAACATTTCAATAATTAGCAATCACACAAAATTCAGAATTCATCAGGAAGTTTAAAGTCTCAACAAGTAATTCCAAAAATCTAGGAAGTCTACTTTAAATTTCACATAAATTCTATTTCCCTGCAGATCTAACAAATAAAGTTGATTGTATTCAGTGAATTATTAGGTGACTGTGTATTAAAAAAAAGCACAAAATTGACGTGGAATAATGAATACCTCATAATTACCCACTTAGAAACTACCAAAGTAGCAACAGCATGAATATATTGTTAACTGAAGAACTGAATTCATACATGTTACATTTTTAATTGTCTGTTGCAAAAGTTAAATGAAAGAGTTAAAAATGGCAAGCCTGCAGCCAAGAGAAACCAATAAAACATAAAAAAAACACAACCATAAAAATTCCACAAATTGTTTTATTAAAAAAAATTAATCTGGTTCAGGACATGTAAATGCCCAGTTAACTGCACAGACTTTGTTTAAAATACTATTTCAAGTTAATCTCAAACAACATTTTGAGAAATAGACAACTTTAACATTAATTTTTGTTTTAACCCTTTCATGAGATGAGGATATCCCAAGCATGTGTTTCCTATTATAGCTATGGCCCTTAACTGAGTAGCTTGCTAGATTATTTCAGATGGCAAATATAAATCAACTACATTGCTGTGGGTCTGGAGTCACATGCAGGCCACACCAGATAGAGTTGGCAGATTTTGTTTCCAAAAGGGGCATTAATGAATCAGATGGGTGTTTACTACAATGAATAGTAGTTTTGTGGTTACCATTAGAGATCAGTTTTCAAATCCAGATTTTTAAAAGAATAATTACATTTAAATTCCATATCATGCCAGGATGATATTTGAATTCAGGTCCTCAGAGCATTAGCTTTGTCCTCAAAATTACTAGTCCAGTAATATCATCATTAATTTTCTGTTTAACAACAGTGAGCAATGTGAGCAAATTTGCACAAGTAAATTAGGATTGAATTAAGGTTTGGCACTAGGGACAAGGAATCAAGGCCAACTTGTAGCGCATTCTCAGTATTTAAATGGTAATTTACTTGTTCTTGCACATAATTCTAATGTAATTGGTTTCTTTTACGCATATGAAATTTTAACTTAAATATTTCAGATTTATTATAGAACTATTGATCATTTTCACTGACTTAGCAAGGAAGGATTTGAGCAAAGCAAAAATAATTCCAGTTTTTGACTCACCATTAATGTTGAGACAGTCTTTTCGGAGAAACTCCAAGGCACATGGATGATCATGTTCCACTGACTGTGATACATCAATTATATAAACTCCCCCATTGTGGTACCTGCAGGATAGCAGAAAAATAAAGTGTATACAAATAATCTGCTGTCTCAAAGATTTAGCTTCATTTAAGACTATACCAAGACTTTCAGGCAAACCAAACAAAGTCATGAAAAATTAGTAATTCTGAAATGAATTTTAGCATACATACAGCAAACAATCCAAAAATAGTTTCATCTGTCACTATGTACATGTTATACAATAAATTGCACTTCGCCGCTTGATTAATATTGTTGTGAAACATATTGACATATCACTTTTACAGGATGGTGCAGATTTTAACAAGGATTTGGAGGCACTTGTGAAAATGCAAGAAATGATTTAGAAGGATTATACTAGAGTTTATAACTATCATGAAAGGCTGGACAGGTTGGGGCGGTGTACTTGTGGCAGAGAGATAAACATTTATAATTGTGAAAGTTCCAAACTAATGGTCATATCCAGAAGGTTGTGATAAATATATTAAGTAATATGTTAAGTACACAAAATGATTGCCAGACACTGAAACAAAAGCACAGAATTAGAGGCCATAAGCAGTCCGAGGCAGGAAATGGATTTACATGGTTCATTGTGAATGATTTCCCCAAGTTTCACTATTTCAAGGTCTTCTGTTTATATTATACTTATGTGCAATAACAATGAATATTTGATTACCATGTGAAAATCATCACGGTCATACCTCACTCTCCAGCATTAACAGTACTTAAAATTACCTCTGAGAAAGCTTTTAATCACCTACATTGATACCTCCTTCTTTCGTTCTATGTCAATTTTTAATTGATTAAACCCGTTGAAATACCTGGCTATATGTTCCCAACGGTAAAACACAAAAAGTAGTATTGGCTGTTCTAGATGTTAATATGTCTCAAAACATCTCTGCAACTATTGGCGCAAACCTTTAAACATAAAGTCTAACACTTACTGAATTACATACTGATCATGTCTATTACAGGATAGCCAACTGTTATAGTAAACAGGTAACCTGATAATAATGCTCATTTATAAAATGTTTTAAACGTAGGAAACAATGCTCTGCATGGTAGGGGTGGAGCAAATCAAGGCAAATGAATAGAAATCATAAAGGAACAAATGCATTAGAAACCTTAACCACTTCCAAGATTCAATAGACAGAAAGACGATGATTTACAGCAGATTAAATTCACTGAGATCAGCATGAACCAGTCTGGCATCTTTGTACATTCTTCGCATGTACTGAATAACAGACAGATATAATTCACGGGCCTTGGATTCTGACAAGTGAGCATTCTTCAACAATGGTGCTGGCCTAAAGAATAAAAGGGAACACAGTTAAAGAATAGTCTTTAACAATTTCTTAATTAGCTGTGTGAAGAAACTTTGGAAATTCAAGAGTGAAATCTGATGTACAGAAGACAACAACAAACCTACATCAGATACTGGTTACTCCAAAATCACTTAACTCCAGATATATACCTGTGCAAATATTTTTGAGTCAGAGATAGTAGGAACTGCAGATGCTGGAGAATCCGAGACAACAAGGTGCAGGGCTGCATGAACACAGCAGGCCAAGCAGCATCATAGGAGCAGAGAGGCTGACGTTTCGGGCCTAGACCCTTCATCAGAAAAGGGGGAGGGGAAGGGGGTTTTGAAATAAATAGGGAGAGAGTGGGAGGCGGATAGAAGAGGGATAGAGGAGAGGAAACAAACAGGTCGAAGAGGCGGGGATGGAGCCAGGAAAGGTGAGTGTAGGTAGGGAGTTAGGAAGGGGATAGGTCAGTCCAGGGAGGACGGACAGGTCAAGGGGGCGGGATGAGGTTGGTCGGTAGGAGATGGAGGTGCGGCTTGAGGTGGGAGGAGGGGATAGGTGGGAGGAAGAACAGGTTAGGGAGGCAGGGACGAGCTGGACTGGTTTTGGGATGCGGTGGGGGGAGGGGAGATTTTGAAACTTGTGAAATCCACATTGATACCATTCGGCTGCAGGGTTCCCAAGCGGAATATGAGTTGCTGTTCCTGCAACCTTCGGGTGGCATCGTTGTGGTGCTGCTTGGCCTGCTGTGTTCATCCAGCCCTGCACCTTGTTGTCTCAAATATTTTTGAGAGTAGTTTCTAAATAGACCCTCTTTAAAAGTAAGCTTCTTACATGAAATGAAACAAAAAGCATATAATTTTAATACACAGATAGAAATGTCCGGTTGCGCATCCAACATATAGTGAGTCTAAATGGCATGATCAGCAGTGAAAAAAAGACCAAGAGCTCATAGATATTTAGACTCTGGGATTGTGTTCCAGCAACTAATTTATTAAGAGTGTTCAATGTTTTGATTAGTCTTCATTTAAAACACAATTTAGTTATGTTTTAGAATTGTCTCTCATTAATGCAAAGTTTTACTCTGCGATTCAACAATGCTTTCCACCGCTCCCCCTGCCTCATTTTTAAAGATGGTTGTAATACAAGAGATTTTATGTCAGTTAAAGTTTAACTTACAGAAAATAGATCATAAAAGAATATTCCCCTAAAGGCATCGATTTCTTTCTGGATAAATCAAAATATTGCAGATGCTTTAAATTTGAAACAAAAAAGTGCCAGAGAAACTCAGCAGGTCTGGCAGCATAAGCAGTGAAAGAATCAGTTAATGTTTCTGTTCTTCACTTTGGAAGAAGTCATACTGGGCTCAAAACGTTAACTCTGTTTTCTCTCCACAGATGCTGCCAGACCTGCTGAGTTTCTCCAGTACTTTTTTTTTGTAAACTTTTCTGGAGTTGTTCCAATGTGCTGGCCGTTTTTTCTTACTTTAACTAAGTATCTATGTTTTAATATTGGGTGGAGGAAATTCTTCAACCAATAGAGGCAGCACAAATGAGCTGAATCTAAATCTCATCTGGACCAACTATTATTAATGTTTAACGAGCATAAATATGCTGTGTTGAATCTCCTTTATGTCTCAAACACTGAAGCTAATAATAGCACACTATTGTTACTGTGGCTGAATTATCTTGTCAAGACTAAGAACAAAGCTTGAACTTTCTGGATTTGTGCAGTCCAGGTACTCACTGAATAAATTAATCTAATCTTTGTTGGGGTGAAGGTGAAACTAGACTGCTGAATGAAAAATAAATCGGCTATTCTATTCCAAATGCTAGTAAATATTGCACATAAATAAATTATTCACATTAATCATTCTTACCAATAATCTAAGGGCAGCTTATGTACAAGGATCTTGCAAATTATGAATAAAGATTTGTACAAGAATTTTAGAACAACACTAAAATGAAAAATAGTAAAGAAGAAACTGAGGGAGAAAATTTGTACCCAAGAATACAAATTCTGCAAAAAGGGATGGCCTTTTAGCCATATAAGTTAGTTCCTTTTTGAAAGAACAACATCTCATATTCTCTTTCACAGACTATTCATTAACATCCACTGAGTTTCCCTTTGAATCTACACGTTTTGTCCTACTACCAGTAGCGTGAAAATATTCTAATTACATTTTAAATATTTAATTAATTTAATTATTTGGTGGGACTTCCTGCACCTAATTTCACCGACCTATTAACTCAGCCAGATAATCTCCCAAAATGGTTCCTCCTCATTACCTCCAGAGTACCACTGAATCTATCTTTAGCCTATTTCTATTTCTCATAAACACCATCCAAAGACAAGGTCAGGTTCCATGTGTACACTGCAACACTAAGTTCTATCTCACAACTTCTCTTAACCTTTCCACTGCCTCTATTATCTTTTATCTTTGATACAATTTCCATTCTTTTTGCAATCAATTTTATCATTGTCCCTGAACACACTCAGGTTGAATCAGAGTGTTTTCAACCTCAGCATGTTTGACCACAGCTGAGCCCGCAATCCCTTTGTTACATAAAAAACTTTATCACTCAATATTATCACATTTCTGCGCCCAAACCTCACCCTATTTGCTGCTAAATCCCTCATTCATGCCATCGTTATCTTCCAACTTATCTGCTTCAAAAGTGTCTTGGCCTGACTCCCAGTTTCCAACCTCAATACACCTTCAGTTCGTCCAAACACAATATCCTAACAAACAGAGTCCATAGCTCACTGTGCTGGCTGACTGAAGCTGACTCTCAAATCACCATCACCTTTTAAAATTTGTATTTTTATGTTCAAATTCCTCCATCACTTTGCTCCTAACTACTTCTCCACCCTCTTTGGTCCTATAATTCTTCAAGAACTCTGCCCACTTCAAAATCTCATCGTTGGTGGCCCAGAGGCCCAGAATTCCTTGCATATGTCTTTTGTTTCTCCAATCCTATTACCTCCTTAAATATACTCCTTAAAGCCAATCTCTTTCGCTAATCTTTTAATTACCTGCATTGTAGATGTCAACTTTTTTCTGACTATGTTACTGTGAAGTGCCATTTTTTGCACTGAACTCATGTCTGCAATTACCAAATCCTTTACCATGCCGTATTTATGAATAATTTTGGCATTTCCTTTCAAAGCAATGTCAGATTCATTAGGCTCAAAGTGTTTCTTATATATGGTTGCATACAAGTAGTTCTGCTATAACTCATGTTTCGTTAACGCAAATTGGCTGTAACATGGTTGATGAATAGTGGATGCTGTTTGGATAACATGAACTTTCTGCTGTACAGGTATGGCGACTTTCTATAGCGATCTCCCTATAATGCGATTTTCTATAGCACGAGGTCACACAAGAACTACCTAACACCACCAATGAAGGCTGAAATGAACGACTTCTACACAAAATCAAGGCTTCAAGGGCATAACTCAGGGAGCATACGATCGCCTCCAGATTATATAATGCAACTTCCAGGTCTTTTCCCCCTTAAACCATTTTATCTTTTTCCAATTTTAGATAACCAGTACAAGACATAGGTGGCATAAAGCTTTGTTAGCTAAATTATTCCTTTCAGAATGTCTATTAAGTATTAGTTTGAATAACACACAAAAAAAACTTACATATCATCTTTACCAATAAAACCCATAACAAGCACGTGACTCCTGAGCATGATTGGTTCTGGACATGGTATTGCTGCTGTTTGCAACCTACATCCAAAATAAGCAAAACAATTAGTTTTATCATTGTAAACTAAATGAGCTTGTAAATCTCTAATGTTGACAGATATTTAACATGCGTTCATTTTAAAAGATAATAAATCTGTTGGTTTTAAGCAGGTTTTATGGAGATGCATTCTAATTCTAAATTATTAGTTTTATCAGTTAAGAAAATATGAAATTTTGACACTTGTGGCCCAGAGGTCTAGATTGTCAACAATGTGCATAAGTAACCACTTAATTCAGATTTAAAATAATTCTTTTTTACATCCAATCGAGGACTGATGGTCTAACAAATAAGCAAGTCTTTCCTCTAGGGCTAAGAATTATAGATATTTTTAATTAAGTTGTTCCGAGATGTTGTGACACACTTCTGGAGCAGCTGGGACTTGAATCCAGGTCTTCTGGCCCAGAGATAGGGACACATTCAGTGTGCCACACAGCCCCAGGTTGAGAATTATCTAATTTCTTATTTTCCATCAGCAAAATCATATGCCACTTCAGCAGCAAACAATTTTTTATCCAAAATTAGTTGATCTGACTGAAAGTGCTGAATAAATAGGGAGTCAAATCATTCAATTCAAATACCTTTCAGACTTTTTTTTCAAATATGTTACTTATTTGGCTCCAGTTACATGGAAGATATTTAACAGAATTCTTCGAAATCAAGGGAGCCTATAGCAATGAGAACTGTCAGTCAAACAAAAGGAGCTTCTTTAGGTGATGGTAGAGAACCTCCATACAGAAATAACTAAGACCAGTTTATCACAACAGCTGTTAACAGCTTGGGCAGCTACCTAAGCTTAAAAAACTGCTTAAATGATCGTAACATGAAATCTATCTCATTCAAAGGCCAATTCAGTGTTTTCTGTCACAGTCTGATGACAACGAAGATCACCAAAGGGAGACGTAATAATAGTAGCCAAAATAAATTGGAACATTGAGTTTTTATCATGGACTTGGTATAAGTTCAGTGCAAACACAATCAGACCACATGAGGCATGGATACCAAAACTAAGTCCAAAGTTGAAAAACACAGCTGTAAGTATTACCAAGTCAAAGCTTCATGAGAGCAAAACAAAAATTTTACAGGATTCAACCTGCAAGTCTTAAAAATGAATTGGAGGTAATCTGCTAAATTAACTAATTCTATAACATGAATACCACTAAGACTTCTAAAAAGGTTCTATGTCACTATTCAAAAATGCAAAAGTTCCACTTGTATTCAAGGCAATACTTATATTTATCTTACTGCTGCCTAGGACCATAGCGTGTGCTGCTATATTGCTTACATTTCAGTGTAAATATGCTCTAAAACATTGAATAAGACAATTTGTTTTACAGTGACCATCTAAATTTGTGCTAAAAATGGCAGTTGCTATATTGAAAGAGTTTCTTAGATGAACCGCTGGCTGACTGTTTCGGTGAGTATATTCTGCCCATCATACGTAGGCATGACTAGAACACATGAACAATGTTGAGTGCTGATTGTTCAGGCTATTGTGCTTGTAATAAGTCAGTACATGTTAACATTCTTGCTGCTGATTGGTGAACTGTACAGACCTGATGGTAGGGTGTTTCTTGAGAAACAGTAGCCAGATATCACAAATATCACTCTTTGTTTTGGGGATCAATGTGATTTGGTAGATCTCCAACGCCTTCCTGTCATGACTTGTACATCAGTGTCTATCAGTATAATAGGTGAGATCAGCCTCGAACTAGACCACTGGACTTCGTGGTTAGTAACGGAACATGGAGATCCGCCGACATCAGAAAGAAAGCAATTTCATAAAGAAAATTTGTAAAACTGTTCTAACTTTAACATCTTACAACTTAGCCACAAACAGCATTACATCACTTATTGTCTTATACATGACTAAGGTTGACCTCTATACAAAGATAGCAAAGTAAACTAAAAAATTCCAACATGCTACCTGATTAAATTTCTCATCTCCTTTTCTGCCCAAGTCCTCACCATTTTTCTTGGATTTCCCTTACAATATCCATGGCGGAATCTGGAAAAGAATTACTGCTACTTTCAATTCTTGTGTTTTAAAAGCATTCTAAATGAAACAAGTCTGCTGATGGAAGAGAGACGTCGTTTTTAAAAATGTTAGTGAATCAATTTCACTAGTTCAGTTTTATTTTCATTTTTCTATAAATGATGGCAACCATTTTGCAGATTTTAAAACAAGGACACAGAAATGAAATACATAAAAAGTATTAGGAATAGTGAATAACAAGCTTAGATTCTGTGGTAACACTGGTTACTTTAAACAGTGAAATGCATTGGCTTCATAGATTATTATAAGTAGTTCATAGAAATAGTACATGTCTTACCACCTGCATTCAAAATGAAGGGGAGAGTACAGGGAAGCACTTAAGGAGGACTGTAAAGTTGAACTTTTAACTTTATTTCCTTATTTTCTACCTTTATATTCTATGTCTCGGTTTATTTTTCTGTGTTTTAAGATGGTGCTGAAAAGTGGCAATATTATACAACACTTTTCACTGTATTTGTAACAAATACGTGTAACAAGTGCATGTGACAACAAATAAAGAAAATATTGAGAATTACAGTTACCACATACCCTTGAGCAGAACAAACATTTATCATTGTACAGGTTCCTTTCAAAAGTATGATGATAACTCTGAATTTAGAGCATTCCCAAGTTTTAAGCCAATAAGCTTTTGTTGACTTTTTTTATTACCTCATTCATAACTTTGTCATCACTAAACTGAACCAATCCAATATTGGAGGCTGACCAAACCTCTACTTTCAACTTGCACTAAATCCCATTCCACTATGACCACTGTGCTCAATGATCTCTATCGGCTGACTATATTGGCTTTCATTCCAGCAACATGATTTTAAAAATTTCAATGTTTGCTTTCAAATTCCTCTACTGTCATCTGGTAAGCTCTAAAATTTCCACCAATGGCATGGTGGCTGCATGCCTAGCAGCACCAGGGATCTGGGTTCAATCCTACCCTTGGTGGTCGTCTGTGTAGAGTTTGCAAATTCTCCCAGTGTCTGCGTGGGTTTACGCTAAGAGCTTCAGTTTCCTCTCACAGTCCAAAGATGTGCAGATTATGTGGATTGGCAAAGCTAAATTGTCCGTAGGGTGCAGGGATTGCAGACTAGGTGGATTAGCCATAGTAAATGCGAGGGTTACAGGGACAGAGGTAGGTGGCTGGGTCTGGGTTGGAAGCTCTTCAGAGGGTCAGTGCAGACCCGATGGGCTGAATGGCTTCTTTCCACACTCTAGGGATTCTATGAACTCCACAACACTCCCAGTTAGAATCATAGAGTCCTACAGCACAAAGACAGGCCCTTGGGCCCAAACTGGTCCATGCTGACCAAAATGCCCATCCACACTAAGCCCATTTCCCTGCACTTGCCCTTCTAAACCTTTTCCTATACATGTATTTGTCCTAATGCCTTTTAAATGTTGTTAATGTACTCAGCTCAACCACTTCCGCTGGCAGCATTTTCCAAATACGTCCCAGCCTCTGCATAAAAAAGTTACCCCTCAGGTTCCCGTTTATTCTTTCCCCATTTACCTTAAACTGATGCCCTCTAGTCCTCGATTTCCCCGGGTTGGGGAAAAGACCAGTTATTTGTCCTCCTCTGTCTTCTTGAGCATTTTCAATTATAATTACTTCACACTACTGGCTGTGGCTTTTGTTGTCTCAGATCCAAGCTCTGGAATTCTCTCCCAATACCTCTCTGTTTCTCTAATGTGCTTTCCTCCTTTAGTATGCCTCATAAACCAATCTGACTCAAGGTTTTGGTCACCAGTCCTAATATCTCTTAATGTGGCTCGGTTGTCTTACTTTGTTTGATAACATACATTTGAAGTCCCTTGTGATGTTTCACTACATTAAAGGCACTGTATCTCTTGGTTGTTGTTACATTCTGCAAGTCTATGACTAATTCATTCAATTAAAATCAGTTCCTCCAATTTTGTTTTGGTGTTCCTTACAAGTAGTTTGTGTGCAATAACAACATTTTCTTTGGGAACTGTTCATTTTTTTTGGTTGGGGGGGGGGTGGAAGAAGAGTTGATGATTTACAATATGAAAAATAAATGTATATTTGTACATGCAGAAATTTCTGCAATTTATTAATTGTTACATATTACTAAGGGAATATGTACATTCTTCCTGTTTTCACAGTTCATGAATCATAGACACGGGACCTAACAATTAAAGAAATTTAATATAGAAAGAATAGTTACATTTCCAAAAACCTTACCTGAATTCACCACTAACATATTTGTCACGATCTTTAAAAATTAAGATTGAGGTTTTGTAGATCTTTATTGCTCTGCTTTCTCCAGTGTTTGTTGTTGCATGATATACATTTGCCTGTTAGTAAGCAGAGACAAAAACTGAACTGTTGGAGGAAGCTTGGAAAAACAATATAAATAATAGATGTTGGATCCTCTGATCAAGATCAGAAAACCTATTTCTGACCAAATAAAAAAAAAAATCCACTAACCTTCCACTGGTTTCTCTGAAAAACCTTTGGTTGGAGGATCCTTCACATCCAACTGATTGACTCCAGGAATTTTCGGAGATAGCAGGGCAGAAATCACACCCTCTTTTATACTAGCTTCTGTATTGATAAGTTATGCTTAAGCGTCCCAAAGCTTCTCATGGTGTTAGTTTGAGTGTATGAATGAATGAATAAATGTAGAAAGTGGGTTGATGTACCAGCTGATAGGGGTGGCAGAGGAACTGAATGTTAGGGTGACAGCTGGGTGCAGTGTCAGGGTTTCCAGTGGCTAGGATAGTGAGGTTGGGTCATTTGGGAGTGGTTGGGAGTATTGCAGTTATCCAAGAGTTAAAACTGGTTTGGATCAGTCTAACATTTCCTGGGTTAGTATCCAGATAACTAAGTTGGAATCCTTGCAAGTCCCCGACTCTGATTCAGAATGGAGACATTTTCGGAGGGTCGGGACTCATGATAATTACCCATCTGAAGTTTAAACTTTTCCAGGAAGGAGAGAGGTTCACCTGGATCATCTCTGATACCTCCCTCTCCTTCCTGGACCTCTCTGTCTCCATCTCTGGTGCCCGCTTAGAAACCGACATCTATTTCAAGCCCACTGACTCCCACAGCTACCTAGACTACACCACCTCTCACCCACCTTCCAACAAGAATGCGATCCCCTACTCCCAATTCCTCCGCTTCCGCTGCTTCAGTTCCTATGATGGGGCATTCCACTCCTGAACATCCCAGATGTCCTCTTATTTCAAGGACCGCAACATTCCCCCTTCAGTGGTCAAAAATGCTCTCAACTGCCTCTCGTGTTTCCCGCACCTCTGCCTTCACATCGCCTCCCCCAACAAAAACAAAGACAGAATTCCCCCTTGTCCTCACATATCACCCCATTAATCTCCGTATCCAACATATCATTCTCCACCACTACCGTCACCTACAATCCTACCCCACGACCAAAGATATATTTCCCTCCACACCCCTATCTGCCTTTCGCAGGGACTGCTCTCTCTGTGACTCCCTTGTCCGCTCCACACTCCCCACTAGCCCCAGCACCCCCGGTACCTTTCCCTGCAACTGCAGGAAGTGCTACACCTGTCCCTGCACCTCCCCCTTCACCTCCATTCAAGGCACCAAACAAAACTTTCACATCAGACAGAGGTTCACCTGCACATTCGTCAATGTGGTCTACTGCATCCACTGCTCCCAATGTGGCCTCCTCTACATCGGTGAAACCAAATGGAGGCTGGGAGACTGCTTTGTAGAGCACCTGCGCTCCGTTCACAACAAACGACAACAACTTCTGGTCACATACCATTTCAAATTCCCCTCCCACTCCCTGGGTCACATGTCCATCCTGGGAATCCTCCAGTGTCATAATGTCGCCACCCGGAAACTGGAGGAGCAGCACCTCATATTCCACCGTGGGAGCCTACAGCTCAATGGCCTAAATGTGGATTTTACCAGTTTCAAAATCCCTCCACCCCCAGCCTCATCCCATGACCAACTCTCCCTCTCATCCCTGCCTCCTTGACCTGACACAACCTGTCCATCTTGTCTCCCACCTATCCGCTCCTCCCATCTCACTGACCAATTCCCACCACTCCCTACCTGCACTTACCTATAACCATCCCACCTACCTTCCCCAGCCCCACCCCTCCTCTCTATTTACTTGTGAGCTCCCTTCCACCTCCCCCATTTCTGAAGAAGGCCCTGACCCGAAACATCAATGTTCTTGCTCTGCTGATGCTGCCTGGTCTGCTGTGTTCCTCCAGCTCCACACTGTATTATCTCTGACTCCAGCATCTGCAGTTCTTACTATCCGAGTGCTGGGGCCTCTGTACTTTGTAATATATATATAAATGATCTGGATGAAAATGTCAGTGGTCTGCTTAGTAAGTATACAGATGACACAAAAATGGGGGGCGTTTTGGATTGTGAGGGAGGATATGAAAGGATATAACAGGATATAGATCAGCTGGAAAGTTGGGAAGATAAATAGCAGAGAGAGTTTAATCCAGACAAATTTAAGGTGATGCAACCTGGGAAGTCAAATGCAAGATGAAAGTATACTATAAATGCAGGACCCTTAGGAACACTGATATACAGAGGGTCCAAGTCCATAATGTTGCCAGTTTCAGGTAGTTAAGTGGATAAGGTGGTAAAGAAGGCATACAGCATGCTTTCCTTCATGGGTTGGGGCGCTGAGTATAAAAGTTGGCAAGTCACTTTACAACGGTATAAGAATTTGGTCAGGCCACATTTGGAGCGGTGTGCAGTTCTGCTCGCTGCACTATAGGAAGGATGTGGAGGCTTGATAGGCTGCAAAACAGGTTTAGCAACATGTTGCCTGGATTGGAGTAAGCTAGGTATAAGGAGATGGTGGATAAACTTGGATTGTTTTCGCCAGAGAACTGGAGGCTGAGGGGCAATCTGAAAGAAGTATATAAAATTGAGCGGTATGGATAGGGTGAATAGTCAGATTCTCTTTTCCAGAATGGAAATGTCAAATACTAGGGGGAATAGGCTTAAGGCGAGCGGGGAAAGTTAAAGGAGATGTGCAAGGAAAGTTTTTTTTTAAATCACAGAAGGTAGTAGGTGCCTGGAACATACTGCCAAGGGAGGTGGTAGAAGCAGATATGACAGCAAACTTTAAAAGGCATTCAGCCATATGTGAAGAGATAGAGAATAGAGGGATATGGACCATGTGCAGGCAGATGGGATTAGTTCAGAATGGCATCGTGGTCAGCACAGATGTGGCGAGACAAAGGGCCTGTTCCGGTGCTGTACTGTTCTATATTCTCTACATAAAAAGGGACAAAGGCAGAGAAAATATGAAAAAGGCAAGTACAGAAAGAACGATGGCAGGAAGGTTCAGGAGAACTGAGGAATTTCTGGGTGCAAATTTTGCCTCAACAGGGTATACAGAGCTAACCTTAAAGTAGGGTGAGGAGGTGTTGAAGATCAGATAAAGGCTCCAATTTGAGCAATGGTCAATTTCATTTTGATGGTAAAAACAAAATCACACTGTTATCCTGTAGGGTGAAGTATTCCAGTTGTATTCCAATTTTCTCATGAGATTTCACTGCAGTTACACTAGCTTATTTCCTGTTCATTGGATCAATTTTCATTTCTTCTACACTAACCATAGGAATCCTATTAGCACATTACATTTGCTTGTTGGCAATAGATGGTGAATTGAAAGACTTTAATTCCACCTTAAGGCCATGCTACTCAGTATAACTGTTGTGTTGTGTTCTTTACATTTTTATTTTTTGAGCTGGGATTTGCCCACGGCAAGCCATGATGCCTCATCACTCATTCCTAAAACTAATTTCATCACTTCTTTTCCAATTCCAACACCGTGCTTTATATTTTCTTATCCTTTGTCATTTGTAAACTAAGTATTTCAATTTCTGCTTATCCCATTTCATTTCAAAAGTGTGAATAACTTCTTTCTTTAGGTGGCCCCACCCCATAACTACGGTTGCAATACCATCTAAAGGAAACACTGGCTTAGTAGTGTTAAGAAATCATATACAGCGCAATACAGAAAATGCTGAGAGCACTCAGAAGATCAGGCAATGATGGTGAAGAGAAAAATAAAGTTAAAGTTTCAGCCAATGACCCTTCAGCATAACTCTTGGATGCTCACAAATTCAGTTTCTCTCTCCATAGATAATGCCCGATCAGCCAAGCATTGAAAACTTTGGTTTTCACTTGAGATTTCCAGTATTTGCAACGTTTTGCTTTTACATATAGAGCAGATAGGACTGGGTGTTTTCTATTTTTGTAATTCCACCATAAGCTTGTGATAGGGTAAACTTCAGAATTTTAATAAGGGTTCATGGATTGAAAGAATGAACAAAGATAAACTGCTACACGTGGAAAGAAGCAGCAATAACTCCGTCTGATATAAACTATTAAGGGATAAGGAAAAAGAGATACAGGAATTGAAAGCAATTAGCCACACCTGGGAAAGAGAGTCGAAGGTACATGAACAAAACTCTTTTGACATGTGCTTGATAACTGGCTACTCTGTTGCCACAAGGACGACTGATTGCTCTGCAGAAGAATTTAAGGAGTTAACTGCAGCAAAGCTGTGTCTTCAACCAGACAATCAATACCGAATGTAACAAGGAACAAGGAGCCTACTTCAGATAAGAAGGCAAGCTGCAAACTTGCAATAATTTGGATGAAAGAAACATCAATAACATCACATTATGGACCTGAAGGATGAAAAACTGTATAAGAATCAAACACTAGAATTCCCCTTTTAGCAGAACTCTGGAGAACAACTCAGAAGTATCGAACTCTGGACACATCCACTGTTGGTTGGAATTGTGGCTACGTTTCACCATTAATCGGGTAATAGCCAAGTTGACTTGTGAGGCTTAATTTGCTTACTTGAGGGGTCTTACTTTGGTTGCTGCATGCAACAAAGTTTAAAACACTGTTCCAGTAGTTGGTTGTCTGTGAGATTTCTTAGTAAGTAGCCGAACTGAAGGTAACTTGTGGTTATTACTCACAACATGCTTTTGGAATACTAGTTACAGCACCCAGTTGGTACTGTTTTTAAAATCAAATGATCCAAGCCAGTCATCTAGTGATAAAAGACATACAGTCACAGTACATATTTATCATTCTAAAGTGATTCTCATTGCTCTCCTCAAAGGATTACCTCCTTGCCTGTACTGATACATCCATGGATTTGTGAGATCACCCCTCTGCTCAGCATTTTAAATAGAATCATTCGAGTTCGTGGATCCAAAACCTAAGAATTAATAAAATCTTAATGTGATGCACCAAGCATGCACTACATGCAATCTCTCCAAAGACACAGATCTATAACATTCATCACAAAATGAAAGAAGAGGGAAATGGAAACTCAAAAAATTGTGATCTTTATAAAAATCAGAAAGGTTTATGATGTCACAACAGACAAAATACTACAAATGGAAGATTTTATCTAATTTTATTTTACAGCTCAAACTTTCAAACAGATAATAATATCTTGGCTTTCATATCTTCTAGTTCTTACTTCATGAAAGTAAATTATTTTACACTTATCAAGAATCTAATTCTAGCTACATAAAGGATGTGTTTTATACCAATTAAAAAGAAAATCTGCCTAAAAATGACCAGACATTTGTTTTAACAAAAAGAAAATTGTATGCAGCAGATTAAGACAGTCAGAAAAATAATTGTGAAGCTACCTTTCTGCCACAATAATAATCGTCACATATCTATACTGGAGCTCATAAACAATATTGTGTGTGATACTAATCAAAGGTATGAAAAAAAAATCAAATATTTATAAATACTCAATACGTTAAGGGTCTAGGCCCAAAACGTCAGTTTTCCTGTTCCTCTGATGCTGCTTGGCCTGCTGTGTTCATCCAGCTCTATACCTTATTATCTCAGATTCTCCAGCATCTGCAGTTCCTACTATCTCTGTTAAGGGTCTTGATTTGTTTAATTGTTTAATTTGTTTAAAAATTGTAGCAAATGCCTTTTTAAAGCATTTTTTCATTTACTGAAACCACTTGCCAATATCACATACATACCTATTACAAGCAACCATTGCAAATATACATAATTTCCCTGCGCCACTCAAACACATTTACATCTTGAATTAATATACTAAGCATTACCTGCTCCACAGTGGCTCGGTCAGATTTATCTTTAACCCGAAACCTAAAAAGTAAATTGTCAAAAATAAAAGGACTACCGTAAACACACTCCATTTCAGGAGTGCTAAGCAATGCTGAACAACAAAGAAAGAGAGTGTATAGTCTACATAAAATTATTAGAGAAGAGGGAAATATCCTATTAACCTCCTCAACCAAATTATCCTGTCAGGCTGCCTTCTGGGATCTGTGACATGCATTCCAAGGATTCTCCACATTTTAATTTTAGTGTCCTACCATTTATTATATATTCTTTTGCATCATCAGACTCTCAAACACATTAGTTCACATAAGCGCCAGACTGAATTCCATTTGCCATTTTCAATCTGCTTCACTTGACAGATATCCCGAGCTTTATTCTTCACTCCTAGCTACATGGATCATTTTTGTATCATGTTTCCTACGTTTAAGTCTAAGTCTAGATACATACCACAAGAAACAAGGTGTGTGATGTCGAACCCCCCCAGAAAGCCTTTCAATCACAAAAACATCTGTGAATCGTTAATTACACAGAGGTATTAAAACACTGAGCTAGATTCTGGTGGAAGGGAGCAACTGGTGGCCAACCCTGTTGATTAAAAGTGCTGGAGCAGCTGCAAATTTAGAAACATTTTAGTAGATAACTGCTGGAAGTGCAAACTGGTAATGGTGTGGGGAGAGTAACAGGACATTGAGAAGATGGTGGCCTAATGGGCTAGTAATCCACAGGCCCACGCTAACATTCTGCCAAACCGCATTAGAATCCCACAATGGCAGATGGCGAAATTCAAATCCAATAAAAATTTGGAGTTAAAATGATGGCTGAGTAGTGACCATAGTTGACGGTCATAAAAAGCCATCTGACTCAGGGAAGGAAATTTGCTGTTCTCACGTAATCTGGTCTATATGTGACTCCAGACCCACAGCAATGCGGTTGACACTTAACTGAATAATTAACGCTGGCCTAGCCAGCGATGCCAACATCCCACTGATAAAAATAAATAAGTGAACAAAAGGATAGATGGTGTATTTCATTAAACAATGAGATTAAAGGGTTTGAGAAATAAACAGGAAGGACCGAGAACATTTAATGAAAGGGAACAAGCATTATTTCAGATCAGGTATCTCAGTAGAGGTTTTTTAGCAACTGAAAAAAATTAAATGAATCCTTAACTATATGGACTACAGAAGTTCAACTGGAAAGCTCACCCTAACTGTTTTGAGCAATGACTGACAATATAGTTATGCCTGTATTTCACAGAACCAGACAGCAAATTTAAATTAAAAAACAAATCCATTTAGTTATCTATTTTTTCTGTTTTATTTTCCTCCTGGATATTTCTTGCTTTCCTAAGGGCACTGACTTACTTTTGCTGTTCAATGTACAGATGGGCATTACAGCCAACACTAACATCAACATATTTGCTCTTCCGGCTGGAGTCAATGGACAGCAACCAGAAGTGGGAACCCTGGCTGAGTCACCGATCGTAAATGACCTGGCTTTAAGATCAATTTTTGCATTGAGATTGCTGTTCCACTTTGCATCATCTAACTCATCATAAATTTATAACTAAACCTGAAATCAGATCAAATTGCTGCGGTACCCATGGGATAAACCCAGTAACCATTAGAATGATCTTTCTTTCGCTATCAATAAATTGTAACATAATAGAAATAGGTACTTAAAAAAAAATGATATATTTGCACATATAAAAATTACACAATCTGGGAACTAACTCGAAATTTCAACCACATGTTTTACTTACATGTCTGTACGTTTCTGCCTTGATTTTTCAGTTACCCTGTTTATCACAGAGTCATCAAAATTTAGTTTATCTAACAAAAAGTCAAAAGATCAGAAATTAGACTTTATGCAAGTAATTTTGTTCTTATTATAAGATCTCTGTCCTTGTAATGATAGTAAAGTGCACACTGCACCATAGCTTTGGGATACTTTTTCCTCACCTAACAATGTGCACTATAACAACATCAATTAGTCTCGAAAGTTCACTCAAGATTTGACAACACTACATACAAAGTCCTCAATTAAAGTCATTCTGTTTAACATTGGTAAGTTAATGGGGCCTGTAACCTCAGTAAACATTACAGGATTCATTTTAACATAGCTTCCATCGTGGATTTCATTTTAACGTAGTTTCCCTGCACAAACTAACTGGTGTCTCCCCACTTCCTACAGCAGCCTCTGCTCGCTCCCCCACCTCTCAGTTGCAGTGTCTCCCCAACCCTTGACCACTCAGTTGTGGCCTCTTTTCCACTCCAGACCTCCCAGTTGCAACCTCTGCCCAGTCCTAGGCTGACCCATGTGCTGCTGGACTTGCATTCCAGATCAAGGTACAAATTCAACATGCAGCCGAGCTCTGATGTAGTAGAGATGAGGATTCTGATTGTTCCAAAGTGCTGGGGTGGAGGCTTTGGTTTATAGTCAATTTTTTTTAAAAATGATTTTCAAAGCTGCTCGTCTTTGTTCACACCAAGAGTTCAGGAGGGAGAAGTAGTGAGTGGAAGCATTGAGAAAAAAAAAAATGATTGTAAAAGCCCCAGCACTTCTAAACCATCGGGACCCAAACTTCCCCAACTTCTGAACTCAGACTATGCATTGAGTCTGGATGTTGAATGGGAACACAAGTCCACAATAAAGTGGCAAGAGTGTGGGTTGAGCAGGGAAAGGGCAAAACTCAGTGGGTTGTTGTGGTGACTGGAGTATGCTGCATGCTAGTGGGATGAAAGTGAGGAAGACAGTGTCTGACAACTTAGAGGGTCAAGAAGCAGGGAGGATCTACAGCAACTAAGTGGTTTTGTGGGCAGGATCACTGGAAAGGAGGAAGTGTAGCAAACTTTATTTTAACTGGGTTGTTATGGACTGGCAATCTTGATAAACCAACAAAAATTATCTATCTGAAATACTGGAAGGATAGCAGTGACGTGTACACTGCCTATTTTATGTTAATATTAGTGTGGATTTTTACATTGATTTTGTGAACCTCTTGATCAACATGAATATTTGATCAACTGGCACAGTCCTGGTCCCATAGGTGTAGGTTAGTAAATAGCTTGCTATAATTATATTTTAAGGAGCAAATTGCATTTTTCTTTCATATTTTGAAACTTATTTTAAATATCATTTAATTTACCAATGTAGGAAATTAGCAAAGAATTTTTTTTCAATTTAGAGGATATAATGCTTTAATAAATTTTTTTGGATGAGGAAGATCCTAAAGAACCCAGCTACAATTTTAAAATAGGAACCGATGTTTGCTTTAGGTTCAGATTCTCAGGAACATGACCACGACTTTAAGTGATGACTCACTTTACTTTGCAACTGTCAATTAAGTGCATAATAATGATATAGTTTAATCTTTTCTGTTACTTTTTCTCTAGTACTCCCCACAAAACTGCATTTCAACCTTGCTTGGTATGCTTGATTTAAAATTCAACTTTTCGAAAGAACATAAGCATGGACTTGCACCCTATCAATCTTTAACATGTTGCATTAAGTTTGCAGATGACACAAAGATAGGTTGAGGGACAGGAAGTGTTGAGAACGCAGAGAGGCTGCTGAAAGACTTCGACAGGCTATGAGAGCAGGCAAAGAAGTGGCAGATGGAATATAATCTGAGAAGGTGAGAATGTATGTCATTTGATAGGAAGACGGAGGCATAGACTATTTTCTAAAAGGGGAAAGACTTCGGAAATCTGAAGTAGAAAGGCACTTGGGAGTCCCAGTTCAGGATTCTGTTAAGGTTAATATCCAGGTTCAGTTAGCAGTTAGGAAGGCAAATTCAATGTTAATATTCATTTCAAGCGGGCTAGAATACAACAGAGATGTACTGCTGAGGCTGTATAAGGCTTTGGTCAGATCGTATTTGGAATATTGTGAGCAGTTTTGGGCTCTGTTTCGAAGGATGGATGACCTCCTTGGAGGAGGTCCAAAGGAGGTTTATGAGAATAATCCCAGAGATGAAGGGCTTGACATATGAAGAGAGGTTGAGATCTCTGGGTCTGTATTCAATTGATTTTAGAGGGATAAAGGGGGATCTGATTGAAACGTACAGAATATTGACAGGCCTGGGTAGAGTGGATGTGGGGAAGATGTTTCCACTAATAGGACAGACTAGGACCTAAAGGCACAGCCTCAGAGTAAAGAACTAAGATGAGGAGAAATTTCTTCACCAAAGTGATTAATCTGTGGAACTTATTGCCACTGAAGGCTGTAAAGGCCAAGTCATTGAGCGTAGGACGGAGATAGCTAGTTTCTTGATTGGTAACGGGATTCAAGGGTTACGGGATGAGGTAGAAGAGTGGGATTGATAAAAATATCAGCCATGATTGAATGGCGGAACAGTTTCAATGGGCCAAATGACCCAATTACGTTCCTATATCTTATGGTTACGCATTGTAATATAGTAACTTGGAATGCTTAATGGTTTTATTTAACATGTAATAAAACAACAAAGTGTCAAAAACCCAAATTAAAATGGTAGGCTCACATTATTGAATTTGAACGCAATTTGATATCATAGTTCAAAAGTTCATTTTTAGGTAAAATAAAGCAAAAAATAATCGGTAACGTTACAAAAAAAAAAACTTGCTATCTTAAGTTTTAACATGATTTATCAGCCCTCTATATCTTTTTGGCAACCAATTTGTTAGAAAATTAGAAAACTCTGGAAATCCCACTCATTTATGTACTTATTCAATGACTTAATTATTATAATATTATGTTTGATATTTTATCACACTATTTTCTCAACTTGAAACTAGCCCTGCACCAACAAACCTACCAAGATTAATTTTATGTTCAAACTTTCTCAGAAGCTTGTCTGTTGGAGTGGACATCTTTGCTGAATTACAAGAAATTTGTCGATTTGCCTGAAAGGACAAAATTGCAGAAGAAACTATGAAACACATTTGCCTTAGACTTAAAATTAAGCAAAAGAACAGACCTTAGTAATATATTAATATTAAGAAACTATAACAGAACATAAGAAAATGCCTACGAACAAAATCTAAATCTATAAAAGTAGTACAAGAAAAATACAACATTTATTTTTGCTGGAGACTAAAATGAATACTGTGGAGAAATATATGGAAGCTAGAGAATTTGGGGAAAGAAATGGCAACATCTTGAAAAAGGTCCATATTACAGAGGTGGTAGCGCTGGATGTCTTAAAATGCATAAAGCGGATAAATCCCTGGGACCTGATCAGGTGTACCCTAGAACTTTGTAGGAAGCTAGGGAAGTGATTGCTGGGCCCATTGCTGAGATATTTGTACCACCAATAGTCACAGCTGAGGTGCCGGAAGACTGGAGGTTGTTTAATACTGTGCCACTATTTAAGCAAGGTGGTAAGGAAAAGCCAGGGAACTTTAGATAGGCGAGGCTGACATCAGTGGTAGGCAAATTGTTGGAGGGGATCCTGAGGGATTTCCATGTATTTGGAATGGCAAGGACTGATCAGGGACAGTCAACATAGTTTTGTGCGTGTGAAGTCATGTCTCATTAACTTGATTGAGTTTTTTTAAAGTAGTAACGAAGTGGATTAATGAAGGCAGGGCAGTGGACATGATCTGTATTCGCTTCAGTAAGGCATTTGACGAGGTTCCACATGATAGACTGGGTGGCAAGGTTAGATCTCATGGAATACAAGGAGAATTAGCCATTTGGATACAGAACTGGCTTGAAGGTAGGAGACAGACGGTGGTGGTGGAGGGTTGCTTTTCAGAAAGGAAGCCTGTGACCAGCGGTGTGCCACAAGAATCGGTGCTGGGTCCACTGCTTTTCATCATTCATATAAATGATTTGGATGTGAACACAGGAGATATGGTTAGTAAGTTTGCAGATGACAACAAAATTGGACGTGTAGAGGACAGCCAAGAAGGTTACCTCAGACTGCAACGGGATCTTGATCAGATGGGCTGGTGGGCCGAGTAGTGGCAGATGAAGTTCTGCATTTTGGAAAGGCAAATCGGGGCAGGACTTATACACTTAATGCCAAGGTCCTGGAGAGTGTTGCTGAACAAAGAGACCTTAGAGCACAGGTTCGTAGATGCTTGAAAGTAGAGTCGCACGAAGACGGGATAGTGAAGGCGGCATTTGGTATGCTTGCCTTTATTGATCAGTGCATTGAGTGTAGGAGTTGGGAGGTCATGTTGGCACTGTACAGGACATTGGTCAGGCCACTTTTAGAATGCTGAGTTCAATTCTGGTCTCCCTGCTATAGGAAGGATGTTGTGAAACTTGAAAGAGTTCAGAAAAGATGTACAAGGATCTTGCCAGGGCTGGATGGTTTGAACTATAGGGACAGTCTGAATAGGCTGGGGCTATTTTCCACGTGGTAGTGGGTCCAAAACTAGAGAGTATAGTTTTAATGTAAGAGAGTGAAGAATTAAAAGGGACCCAAGGGGCAGCTTTTTCACAGAGGGTGGTGCATGCATGGAACGAGCTGCCGGAGGAAGTGGTGGAAGCTGATACAATCGTAACATTTAAGAGGCATCTGAATGGGTTTATGAATAAGAAAGGTTTAGAGGGATATGGGTCAAATGGTGGCAAATGAGACTAGATTAATTTAGCATATCTGGTGGGCATGGACAAGTTGGACCAAAGGGTCTGTTTCCGTGCTGTACAGCTCTATGACTCTAAATCAAACGTCTGGTTGAACTTTACAAAGAAAGATGCAAATACATTTCATATTCTTTAATTAGCTAAAAAAAAAATACGATTCGCTTTAAGAACAAGGTTTATTTAATAAAGTTTAAAACAATGAATATGAAATTTATCACGGCTCCACATTTGGAGGCTTTAATAACACAAGGTACTATTGACAAATATCAGCCTGCTATTATATTCTGGATTAACGGCATCACTGAATATGGTGAGCATCCCAGAAAATAGAATTTACTCAGAAAGATTCAAATTTGATAGCAACAGAATCATGTGTTTTGGCTGTTATAATCTCAACATTTTGGAAATAGGTGGAGTCATCCATTCAGCCCCTCAAACATGCAACGTTATTCTAGATCACGGCTGATCCCCTAGCTCAACACCATTTTCCTCGGTTATCCCGTTACCCTTGATGCCATTAGCATCTAGAAACCTATTGTGTTGACCTCTGTCTTGAAAATATTTAACGCCTGATCTCCCATAGCCCTCTGGGGTGGAGGATTCCAAGAGTTCCAAAAGCTAACCTCCAAATAAAGATATACTTCATTGCAGTCCTAAACGGCTTGCCACTTATCCCGAGACTGTTCCCCAACCTCTCAACCAACTTCTGTAAATTCAGCCTGGGAAACATTCTTTTTGCATTTACACTGTCTATCTCCATTAAATTTTGTAAGTTTATTGAAATCACATCACCTTCTTCTAAATTCTAGAGGATAGAGCCTCACTTCCTCAATCTCCCTGTAGTCCCACCATCTGGCAAACTCATGCTCACTCCCACTATGCCAAGGGAATTCTACTTTCCTTAGGCAACGGGACCAAAACTGCACACTATATACCAGATGCAGTCTCATCAAGGTTCTATACAATTGAAGTAAAACATGCTTGCTTCTATATGTAAATCCTTGTGATAAAGACAAATAAACAATTTGGCTTCGTAATTGCTTGTTGCATTTGCATGTTAGCTCTCAGTGACTTATGAACAAAGACATCCAGGTCCCTTTGATTATCAATATTTTCCAATCTCTCTCCACTTCTGATCCTCCTATCACGTAACCTCACACTTAGCCACATTATATCCCATCTACCAATGAGTCTTTCATTTTAACTGTAAGCAAGCAAAGAAATAAATTCAACGTAGATTGCAATTTCAAAGCACTATACTACCTGCTGGTTGTAATCCCTGGAAGCAGTGTAGCGCTTAGTGAGGTCTCCATCGCAATCATCCCAGTCCCATTCTTCGCCATCATCGCTTTCGATATAAGATTCCTCTTCCTCTGAGTTACTCAGATGTAAATTGTTGACTTTTCTTGCTGCCTGTTGTGTTTGCTCAGGACAGCCACAATTACTAAACAAGAACAGCATGCATTTATACAGTGCCTTTAACACAGTAAAGCATCTCATGATGCTGAGAACAAGAGAGTTATCAACAAAATTTATCATTGTACCATATAAGATATTAGATAGATAAATCATCACAAGCTCATTCAAAGAGGTAAGATTTAAGAAAAGCCTTCAAGTGACATGGAGAGGTGCAGAGGTGTAAGGAGGGAATTCCAGAGTTTTACAGCTGAGACACAGTTGGGAAAATTGGTGCCAAAGGTGGAAGGATAAAAATAGAGATATGCAAGACATTAAAATTGGGAAGCGTGCAGAGCTCTTGAATGGTTTTGAAGCTTAAGATTACAATGACAGGAACAGATAAGGCTATGAAGAGCTTTTAAAAGAAGGTTGAGAATATTAAAATTGTAATTTTGCCTAATGAGTACCATGGGAGGCCAATACGCATACGGGTGATAGCTCTACAGGGGACTGAGTTGGGATGCATGTAACATTGATTACAGCAGCTAAAATGAGGTAAGGGTAGCACTGGATAATGTTACATAGGTGGAAGTAAATGGTCTTCATAATGGCGTGAATGCATTTTTGGAAACCGATTTCAAATCAAACTAATAAAAAGCATCAACAATTTTCAAGATAAAAACCAGTAGAGCCAAACATATTTCCATGAGACTGCAATACAGTAGTCAGGATCATAACACCAGATACAGGGAGGTATGCAAATATTAAATGAATATCTGAACTTGGTATAAGAAATTGTTTACTTGATTAATTTCCCATTGCAATCATATTGCTCTGATAGTTTAATTCTATCAAAAATACTGCACCTATTTCCCCAATTTTATTGATTAGAGATTGGTAACTTCACTTGATTGTGCATCGAATTATTTTGAAATTTGGTCTTTTGTTCACACTAGCTGTATATTAAGAGCTTAAATAGCCTTCCTGTACTCAGTATTTGAATTCAGCTCCTCAAGAAATTGTCCTGTTTATACTGAATGACAACTCTGCTCACGGATGAACAGAGATACTAGAGGAAGTGTGTACATTAAAAAAATGCATTAAGGCAGAAAGAGATGCCAGGCCAAAGGATATAGGTGAGCAAATCTAGCCAACTACAGTGTTGTCAGAAAGCCACGTCTGAACCAAACGAGCTCTCACAGACAATTGTGCCTTCTGGACAAAGACGACCTTACTGCCACCACCGCCACACCCCAACCCCCACCCCCAGGATTCTAAACTTCAGCAAATAGAAGCCTAGTCTGTCGAACCTGAGACAAGCATCGATTTTGAACTGCAACCACACCCAACCTCCCCCGTCCCCAGTATTAGTTTCGTTAAGTCAGGAACAAAAACAGAAGTTGCTGGAAAAGCTCAGCAGGTCTGGCAGCATCTGTGAAGAAACAAAAAAATCAAAGTTAACGTTTTGGGTCCGGTGACCCTTCCTCAGAACTGGTCTAGTCCTTAGTCTAGTTAATCTTCGCTGAACTGCCTCCAATACATCATTCCTTAAATAAGGTGACCAATACTGTGTCCTATATCACTGATGCATAACCTAACTGTATTCAATTCTGCTTATGATAAATTTTATTACTTTTCCAAGTGACTTGCTGTACTGCATCCTATTTGTGATTAATGCATAAAGATACCCAGATCCCTCATCATTTAGATAATATACTTCTTTTTCATTCTTAGAATCATAAAATTCCTACAGTGCAGATAGAGGTCAAACGGCCCATTGAATTTGCACTGTCTCTCCAAAGAGTATCCCACCCAGACCCACTCCCACCATCCCCCATAACCCTGTATTTCTCATAGCTGATATCCATGTCCCTGGACACAACGGGGCAATTTAGCATGACTGATCCACCCAACCCATCTTTGGGCTGTGGGAGGAAATCACGACACCTGGTGGAAACCCTTGCAGATACGACAGAACACGTAAATTCCACACGAATAGTCACCCATGGCTGGAATCGAACACGGGTCCACGGTACTGTAAGGCAGCAATGCTAACTGTGTCACCATGTCAAAATGACCAATTTCCTATTTTCCCACATTAGACTCCATTCACCTCATCTTTGAGGCATTTACCTGTCTTCTCCCCTTTGTATAAAGGTGCTACAATCACTATGTTCCGAACTAATGGTACCTAATCTTACCAAATCAAGAGAAAAATCAAAACCACTGCATTAACTATCTCACTAACTGCTTCTTGAAATAGCATAGGATGAAGTCTGTCAGGATCAGGGCACTTGCTATCTTCAACTATTTATTCAGTATCTCTTGATTTCCAAAAATCTATTGATCTCCTTTTTGAAAATATTAAGTGACTGAGCCTCTACAGTCCGCTATGAAAATTTCAAAGATTCAAAAGCCTCTGAGTTAAGATATTTCTCTGGATCTCATTTCAAATTGCTGACCCTTATTCTGACATTATGTCAAGATCCAGCCAGAGCAAACATCATTACAATAGCTACTCTATTGAGACTCTTAAGAACTTTCTGTGTTTCAATTATATCAACTCTCATTATTATAAATTTCAGGTGATATAGGTCCAATCTAGACACTATTTTTTAACCAGGTAAATCTCATCCCAGGAATCAGATTGGTGTACTTCCCCTGAGGGCAAGTAAACCCTTCCTTAGTCAAAGGAGATCAAAATGTACATTACAATTCAAGTGTGATCTCACTGAGGCCCTTCTATCAATTGCCAAGTGCCTCTCATTGCGACTGGCAATCACTCATCTTGATTTAAAAATTACTCAGTATTTTTTACTCAAAAAATTGCTCAGTGTTTAACACTGCTGCCTCACATTGCCGGCACCCGGGTTCAATTCCAGCCTCAGGCAACTGTCTGTGTGGAGTCTGCATATTCTCCCCGTGTCTGTGTCGTTTTCCTCCAGGTGCTCCAGTTTCCTCCCACAGTCCAAAGATGTGCAGGTTAGGTGGATTGCCCGCGAGTGTCCAGGGATATGCAGGTTAGGTGGGTAAACCAGGCAAAATACAGGGTTACAGGGATAGGGTGGGGAGGATGAGTCTGGATGGAGTGCTCTTTGGAGAGTTGGAGTGGATTTGTTGGGCTGAATGGCTTGTTTCCACACTGTAGGGCTTCTAAGTTCTAAAACTGGACCAGCAGGATAAACAGAGGAACACGCACAGTTGACAGTCCATGTGACCATACTAGTGAAGTATCCTAGGACTGTAGTTAGACAACCACGAACAAGGTCATGTTTAACAGAACACAAACTGGTCGGACTCTACGTGACAGCTCATCATGCGTGACACAAACATCCACAAGGGCCACTGCTGGTAGTGCTCCGGAAGGACTGCATCAGAGAGCTGCGACAGAGATAATACACAGGGGGAAGGAGAGAAAGCAAAGAATGGTATCCAATGGGAAAGAGAAAGTGGAATAGGGACACGGCACCCAAAGGTGGGGGCCGCCCGCGGGGTGACGGGCACAACAGCCGGGGCCTGGCAATGGGTGATCAATAACTGATATTAATCCAAGAACCGCGGTTCTCAGGTCTGACCTGTCCCGGTAACCACTCACTCTTTACCTGGGCTCGGTTTCCGCATCATCAAACTGCCCGGGAAGCGGAGAAACGGCCCGGGAGCCGCTCGAGCTCCCCAACAGGCTACCACCAGAGCACGAGGCGGCCATGACTACGGCAACCGCCCCACTCCACGCTGCACCTCACCACGGTCCGCAAACAAACGCGATTTCGAAACGCAGATCGCGATCCAGTTTAACCCCTGAACGTGACGAGGCGTCCTTTTCCAACCCGATCAGCAATTATCGGAATGTTTTAAAGAAGCATTTCTTCTTTCTAAAAAGATAAAACATTTCTCGATTCAGCGTAAATTGACACGTTACAGGGGAAAGCGAATAAACGAAACAATCTCGTCGGTATTGAATGGGTACTATAAGGGAAACACCGTCTAGCTTTAATCTGATAACGTTTCCATTTCAGCTGAAGCAAAGAAAAGCAGAAATTGCTGGAGAAACTTCGTTCTAAAGGGCCGTTGGACTCGATGCGTCAAATCATCAGATGCTGAGTCTCTCCAGCATTCGTGTTTTTGTTTGTTTCAGACTGCTAGCATCCGCAGTTCTTTGTTTCATATATTTCATTTTTTTTGTTCTCACTTCACACCCGGCAAATATTTTAGATCTACCACCTGTAAATCCCACAGCTCGACTCGAAATAAAAATTCCACAAAACGTCATATTTTACAACATTTGCTTAACTTGCTATAACGAGCGGCTGAGTGCGAACATGGAGAGGGCAGATAACTCACTCAGAGATAGTAAGAACTGCAGATGCTGGAGTCAAGAGATAACAGTGTGGAGCTGGAGGAACACAGCAGGCCAGGCAGCATCAGAGGAGCAGGAAAGTTGACGTTTCGGAAGAAATTTCTGAAGAAGGATCCCGACCAGAAACGTCAACTTTCCTGCTCTGATGCTGCGTGGCCTGTTGTATTCCTCTAGCTCCACACTGTGTTATCTCTGGAGAGGGGAGATTGTTTTCATCATTATATCAGGTCTCTTTTTGGACAGGCGATTGAGATTCTTTTTTAGTTTTCATTTGGGTTACGTTGCTACCATACAAAAGTTCATGTTTCGGCGGATGACATGTAAATAACGTTTATACAATACAGCTGAGGTTCTGGAAATACGGATAACCAGAAGTGATTCCCGGCCCACTGCCTGCACGCACAATATTGGTAATTGGGTGACGTCACGGAACGCTGAAAGTGTGACGGGGGCGGCTCCATTGTGACATCACAGACGATGGGTGACGTCGCTAGGTCTGAGCCGCGTGCTGCGCGCTGGTCGGGGGAAATCCCAGTTGTGCATTGATCGGCCAGTGCTGGAGGTGTACAAATTGTGCAGATGGATAGGAATACGTGGCCTAATTCTATGTGTCCCACTGAATGCGGCAACAGTAAGGCTAACAGCAAATGGTGAGCATTTTCATTTGAAAAGGGCGGGCCAAATGGGAGCGAGGGGAAAAAAACAACACTGCGCCTCTCCCCGCTGCAGGTGCAACGTCGATGATCGGATGGGATTCTCTTCTGCTTCGCTATCTGTACTCGGACTGTGTGGGTGAGATCCTGACCAGTCAACCTGAGTGGCTAGGTGGGGCCGCGTTGTTTAAGATCTCACACCCTAGCTCTGACAATGTGGCATGCATCCACAATGCAAGAGTCAACCTGAATGGGAAGCAGATGGTGGGTGAGGGTCCACAATTCCTGGTTCAGAGGCCAATGTGATGCTGAAAATCTGCCTTAAATGTGTCTGAAACTTAATACTGGTTTGAATAAAATCACCATTATTGAAAGGCAGTTTATACCTTCTTTGATTTTTGACCTTGTCCAACCCAGCCCATTCCTGGTACCTCCACATTATTAAATACCTTCTTTACTTCTTGATTTCAGTGCACAAAATCATAAAATTCTGAAAAGTCCCATGACCCATGTCAACTTGTTTCTCCTTGCCTGTGCAACTGTTTTTGAAAATGACCTTTTCTCCTCAGTGCCAATGAAATGTTGACTGGAGAGACCACCAATAGCATTGCAGAACAAAACAAGTCACATGAGATGTATATTGGCTTTGCTGAGGGTAAGTCTTTCTCAGGATTCAATAGACCAGGAGTAGTTGCCTTGCTTTCCTGTTTGCCTGTGAGACAAATCTTCATATCAGCTTTTGTTGTGGTGTTTGACCATATGTTTTACTCATTCTTTCTGTGGACTGCACATGCCACAGTCAGAATGAAATCAAAATAGTTACTGAATAACTGAAGCCACAATATTAGGAGCCAGCTGTTAAAAATCAGCATGAAAGTGTCCCGCTGATGACTTGTACTCCTTCTGGAAATCATCCTTAGTTTTCAGTTTGCAACCTCAGTGATAGAATATTTGTTCTGTTTAAGCCCATGCCCACAATTTTATAATGTTTTGTATTAGTATTATATTTTTGATATAAATCTTTAAATATGCTAAAGATTCAATAGATGCAGCAGCCTGGTAAAGAAAATATATTGTAAACATCATAATGATTCTTTCTTTTGTCTGTTCCTTCTGTCCGCATCATAATCCCATGTCCTTTCTTATTCTCTCTCGTTTGCTATTTCTCACTAACAGTTTCACACCAATTCTATGTCCAATGTTCTGGAGTTTCCTTGGAGATCCACATATGCCATTAGAACTCCACTGGCAATCTAATGAACAAAGTTTATGCCAACTGGGTTTCTGCTGCTCATAAAGTTACAGCAAAGGAGTGGTTACAGCTGAGGAAAATCTGAGGCTCATTTACTCATTGACTGATTCAAAATAAATTTGTCAAGCATTAACCCCACTGGTGGAGCTTTGTGCAATCCATTGTGGAACCAGCTTGCGCCACTTTTCTCAGAACACCAACTGCCACTATGTAATGAACACCGGGAGTGAGAGCACTAATTTAGGGAATTGTCAACAGTGACTTTGTCCAATTCTCTCTTCTCCCCCTCTGCTTCCCCACACCCGCCAACCCCAGCCTAGCTTTATCTTTCTCATAGTAAGGGTGGATTTATTTGAGAGGGAGGGAGGAGTTGCGGTAAATAATGGTTTTGTCAACTTCTTGACATAGTTGCAGTGGGAAATGAGAAGAGCCCTTTAGAATTTTGAGGCCATTGCAAATATTAAGAAAAAGTGAGGAAAAAGTCCAACGTCTTTTAAAGTTATTAGGAACAAAGAAAGTAATGTAATCAGAGGGCAAAGAAAAATGAAATATATTGAGAAATCACCTTGATTAATGGTAGGGGTTTTTATATACTTTAACAGTACTATCTGCCACTGGAGGTAATAGATCAAAAGAGCTCAAAGTCAAAATATACATTTTCAACTACAGTTAATAGAAGCTGAGGTTATTAATGAAGCTACTTATACACATACAAGATAACTTTAATAGGTATGATTCATAATGTTATTGTGAAATATATAATTTTTCATCTAATTGTATTGAAAGCCTTATTTTAAATTTCTGAAATTTCTGCATTTGAGAAAATAAGTGAATAAAGAAATGCATTTTTGAGGAATTAGAATTGCTTGGTTACTCTTCAGCTTTTCTAACTAATGAAAATATGCACATCCCTTGAAGATTTATTCCCTTGAAGATTTATTCTCTTGGATTCCATCAGCTAGAGGAAGCTTTGGATAGATTAAACTTCTACATTAGTTAATCTCCTCCTAAGCATAAGTAAAGTAATTTAATGTATTCAAGTAAATTTTACTCTGTCTACAAAAGTGTAATGCAGAAGCATAATAAGACCATTGCAGGCAATATCTTGACATGTTTAGACACACACTGCAAAAAAAGTTCATCAACCACAGTTGAATGGCATAGCAGACTCAATGGGCTGAAAGGCTTGTTGTGCTGCTATATCTTCTCTTACAGCAGTGAAGTGATTAGCTTGGTTGCTATTGAATTTAACCTGATACTCAGTCTTTAGTAAAATTCCCAACTGTACACTGATAATTGAACTGCACAACACAAGTAGGAACTTGAATGTCAGCAATAGAGCTATGTGCCGTAGCCTCAAAATTGGCCATAGTGAATGCATTGAGTTCAGCTGTACTTAGTACGTCACCAAGCATGTCAGTATCCATTAACAGAGCAAAATTGATCATTGCTGTGTGTAAGCTAAACATTTAATGTGGAGCTGGAAAAGCACAGCAGGTCAGGCAGCATCCAACGAGCAGGAAAATCAATGTTTCGGGCCAAAACCCTTAGCCATTTACTCCAACCAGTCCATGCTGGTGTTTACGTTCCACACAGCCTCCTCCCATCCTCCTTTGACTTCACCATCATCATCCTCTTGTTTTCTGCCTCATGTTTATGTAGATTCCCCTTAGATGTATCTGTGCTGGTTGCCTCAAACCCTCCTTGTGGCGGCAGGTTTTACACTTCAGACACACTCCTGTTTCAAAAAAAAGACTTTCTACTGAACAGATTTATCATTGACTGTCTCAAATTTGGTGGGGGCCAGTTGGCTCGATGGCTAGTGTATGGATCAGGTTAACACCTACAGCCTGGAGTTTGATTCCTGTTCAGCCGAAGTAGAGACAGGGCCCATGCCCATGGTTTGTCCATAGTTAAAAGAAAATCAAGGCAACTTAGCTGTGGCTCAGTGAATAATTACAAAGAACCAGCCTGAGCAGAGAATGCAAGAAGAATCTTATTTATGCTACTTGGTTCTGGTTCTACCTGCTAATAGATAGTTCTCTGTCTACCCTATCAAAACATTCTGTATGTATTGGAGCAGAAAATCAAATTGACAGCAACTTCTGCATTTAACCATGCGTATGTGAATGTCTGAACTTGCTGTCTGTCTCAGACTTTTCAATGCTGCTTGTTGCACTATCATTACAACCACAAAATCAGTGCCATCAGCTTTTTACCCCTTTTATGATTGAAATAACCCCCTTTCCCAAACAGAACAATGCTGGAAGGCATGGAAATCCCATTTGATGTTGCTCTGGCAGCTTGAGATAAAGTACATTGGGTAGCCTCAATCTGTCATTTACACAGCGTTCTAATTCAACTGTTCATATATTTTACCTAAAGCATGTTTGTCAGCACTACTTCTGGTGTGAAATTTAATGTGATGGAGAAGATTTGAGAGTTAGTGGTTCCTGAAAAATTTCCTGCCAAAGACCATTTGTGTAATGGGCAGAAGCTGATGCAACTCGACTGGAAAATCAAAGCCATGGCATTTTAAATGTACCCATGCGTAAGAGAGAAGGAAGCAACAAGTGTGGAGCTCATAAGAATGACTGACAAATTGGGACGAGGAGTAACAAGATCTGTAGATTACTATATATATGCAACGCTGACTTTCTGGGAGGTTTTAGACTGGAAATTTAAGGGTGCATCAAATCACTTTGTATGTAAAGTTATATTGTGCATATTGTTAGGCACATCTGTATTTAGAATATTTTGAAGGAAAATATGTACAAAACATGACCTATTGCGTGTATTATACTTTTCTAGAAATTTTCCTGCAGTTGGGAATGAGTGATGAAAAAATTCAAAACTGGAGTCATATGGATAACTTAGAAACAAAAGAAGCTGGTCACAGTCAGTATCAGTTTGACAGCATTTCACCATTGGATACTAGTTCAATAAGCAATACAAAAGATGAGCTTTCGTTTGTCAGCGCATCATCAGATCTATCACAGGTGAGAGCTAAATGGAGGAAACACAACTAATATATAATATTTATTGTTTATATTCCACAGATCAGGTTGACTGGATTCATGAATGTAAATGTGTAAACATATTGGCACAATCTTAGGTGAAAATAAGGGATCTTAATAAGGCTGGATCGTGGTGTACCTGAACCCTGCCAACTCTCACGTTTGCCTAAATGAACTTCTGTGAGATAAGACCAAGCTCCACCTTCCCATCCAGCTGCTACGTGAGGCCTTTATGTGGTCAATTAATGACAGGGCCACAATTAATTCAACTCCAGACAAGATGAGGAAGTATTGGCCTAGGTGAATAGTTAACCGGCACAGGCAGGCTGTCATTGGTTGGTGTGGGGATGGAATTCCTACTTAATCAGCACTAATTTCAACATAATTGAGGTACTGGACATAGGGCAGGAGAGGGTGACTATTGAGAGATACTCCTATCCCCCAATTTCCCAATGATTGCATCTTAAGAGACCTCATCTAAAATAACAGTGGATGATCCTACATCCTAGGGATTGGGGTGGATGGTGTTATACTGGCAGAAGCTCTGACCTGTAGCCTCACTGTTGAGTTCTGGGTCTGTTGACCTATAATTGACCAGCAGTTCTTTGTGTCCAGGACCTCCTTGCCTTAGACTTGATTTTCCTCTGACAACCAATAAACTGCTGGATTGCTGGAAGCTTTACCATTTTGGGCCCTGGTTTCCCTCCTCCAATCTCCTGCTTTTGTACAGGTGACAATTTGAAGATACTGCCTCATTGCAAGCAGTGTATGGATTTTATTGCACAGTTCCTTAGAAAGAAATGTTGACATCACTGGCTGGACCTTCAGATTGTTCTGGAACGCAACATCCAAATGCACCTCAGCTGTAGTTGTCCTAATGCATATGTGAGCTTGACATTGAATTAGAGACACTGATGGCCTGGCACTGGCAATAGATATATACCCAGCCATGCTGGGGACTATTGTAGGAGCAAATTATTGCAATGGCTAGAATCAGAACTGAAAACAAAATGCTGGAGAGCGCAGTGGGTCAGGCAGCATCCATGAAGAGAGAGTGAGCTAACTTTTGGGGGCTAGATGACTCTTCAGAGCTAAAGTGAAGTGTGGAGAGGGCAGCATTTATGCTATGGGGAGGCGAGGGGGAGGTGGAGTGTTGGGGGATAAAGGATGTTGATAGTTCAGATTAAGTGTTCAGAATGTGGGGACTGTTGCCACCTTGCTGAAGAGAGCAGGCAGTTCCTCCAAAGAACCAGCAGCGTCAAGGTCTGTGGTGGAATATGAGTAGGAAATGCTATAGTAATCCTGTATTGGACACATGAAGGCATGAAGAGGATTCTTACACTTTCAAGTAACCCTTTCTTTTCCCTACAAGAAAGTGGACAGCTGATACTGTCTGTGCTCACCAAAATCTCCATTAAAAACAAGGTCCCAACGTGCCCAGCCCATTAACTGGCTTCTAAAGGAGCAAATGAGCTGTTAATTGGATTAATTCATTTAATTAACCAGTCCAAATCAGAGTCCATTCTGCACTGCCCTAACTTTTAAAATTGCAGACACCAAGTCATCAGAATCAAAGAACTAATTCTGGGATTATGATTTTCAAATGACCACATGCATTGGTTCCTGACTGCGTTGTTGTTTGAAAATTCAGCCTTACTTTTGCATTACATTTTTAAAATAGTGTCTTTTTTTTAAAAAAAAATTATTGACCCTCGTCTGTTTTTAAGGAGAGTATAATGAAGTTTACCTGTTGGAAAATTTGGAATTTTATGCAAATTCATGAACCTGTCTATCATTTAATCTGATTAGTCCTTAGTAAAAGCCAACACGGATGCCACATTTTCTGTGAGGTGATTCAAATGTTAGCTGAAGCACATACAATATATTTTCAAAAACGAAAACTGCTGGCGAAACTCAGCAGGTCTTGCAGCATTTGTGGGAAGAAAGCAGAGTTAATGTTTTGAGTCCAGTGACCCATCTGTTCATCTCAGACCACAATACAATACAATATAAAACAGCTGTTTGTAAATTATGAGCAAACATTTGTATATTGGATTTTTAAAATTAATACCAATGCACCCCTGTATAGGATGTTATTTATTAGTATGGACGCTCATAAATCAGATTTCCTGCATTGCTTTTAAATTACATAACTTCCTGCAGTAGTTAAGTAATAAACTAGCTTTTGTTTAAACTGTAAATCTGTGCTGCTTATTTTTTGTTATGACTAGGTGAGAATGGATGTATCAGCTCCTTTCTTTGCAACTTCTCTGGATGGCCACAACAACGATTTATGCCCTTTTTAGCATGAGGCTATATCTCATGCCAATTATAATATCCAATTAATTCTACAATACCAGCAAGGAGATGATCACAACGTTGTCTTGAGTTAAGACAGAAAACTAATAAAGACACAACATCAAGCATGTGACCTTTGGGCAGTAATGCATGCACACACAGTACAAAAAGGAAAGTAACCTGAGACTACAGTTGTTTAGTTGGTTTCTAGACAATAAGCAGGAGGGAGTATTGCAGTTATATTTTGAATTCTTGGTGTTCTGATGTTTAATTTTAATCTGTATTTTTGCTAGATATGTTTTCCTTTGAGAGACAGACAGAGAGGGTTCCCAGCATGTGTTTAGTGCGCCTACTTAATTTCACCTCCTCTGTCAAAAACATCTTGAAATATAAGATCATTTATGTATTTCAATGTCTGAATTCATGTCTCCAAACTTGATAATTGCAGTTGATGTTTTCATTTCCAAAATGTGAATATTCTCAAAGATATCAATCAATATAGTGTGTGTGTGTGTGTAAAACATGCTCGAATTAAATGGGGACAATTTGACGTTATATAAATTCTTAGTTCACAGAAACTTGAGGATACAACTGGCATGTGGTCCCAACGTTATTCACATCATTCATCGCATTCTGATTAACCCATTTTCTTCCCAATATACAGTGGCTTGCAATAAATTACATTGAATTTGCAAATTAATAATTTTCACTTTGTACTATGGCGATTTGTTTAAAAAGTACTGACATGTACAGGCTACTTTGGTGCCATATGTGCAAAACACCGGATCTGGTATGAACTTTCTGACTGTAGTTTGAGTGCAAATCATTTTAAAGATTTTGTGGACTTCAGGCTCGGAAGCATTCCATTTTTATTGCAGAGGAATGAGGCCAATTTATTCCATTTCAACAAAGATGCAGTTGGCAAGAATTTAAGAAGTTAGAAATCTCTGCTACATGATTTGCTTCATTGTTTGCTTGTTGATTTCCTTTCCTCCTCCTCCTCCTCCCGAGAGTGTTAGAATTGAATTTGATTGATGCACCATGTATTCTTCAGCGCTAATCAGATTGCCAAGGTCCCATTGTGGCAAGCTGAAACCATGCACAATTCCTGGCTAAAGGTCCAGAGCTGCCTTATAGTGCAAGGACATCGTAATGCATTCTTCACCCATGCTTGAAATTGATTTGACTGTTCTAACCAACCCACCCCCTTCCCCCAACAATTATCACCATTGTAGTGTGAGAAGACTCCTGATTTTGAGCAGCTTCTTGATAGACCCATTATACTGTGACCATTGTGTTTGAGGCCAATAATGGGAATCTTGGCTTCTTCATTTATGCACAGAGAATGCACTGGGCTCTTACTGGCCCAGAAGAAGGCATGCCTTAATTTCTGGGTCGCTAGTTCTTATCATTCCATACTGCCAGACAGCCACTGAACCTTTGGCTGATGAGCCTTCATCAGTTTCTGTGTGTGCCCTTGGTTAGTGTTGATCTACAAACTATTTGTCAAACAGGAGAGAGAACCCTTGCTGGTTTTTGCCCTACTAACCCAGAGCACTTTGAGGACAACTGTTGCATCAATCCTACTGTGGGTCTGAAATCCATTTAGCATAGGCTAAGAATTCTGCAACGACCTTCTTTGATTTGCTTGAGTTACTTGCTAAATAACCACAGTTAATAACTAAGATTATTTTCAACTGACAAAACTATTGTAAGAATATAAAGAAAATGTCCTTGTGAATTTTTCTTTATGTAACATGCAATAAGTGTTAATTTATAGATGTATTGGATATTTAGCTTGGAAGGTATAATTTGCATGCATGTTTAGCAAAATATTCAATATCATGGTATATCCCATGATAATTGTAAGGACAACTTTCTGACAGATGTTTTTGCATATTTTATTCATTTCAACTTTGGTGAATAAAAGAAGAATCTAAAGCAAAATTTCATTTATTGACTGCCAATAGAGTGTGTAAGAATTTTTGTTCATTAATGGCTGTTCTTGTACTTGATCTATGATCTGCTATACTGGTGCATGTACTATCTTACTTCTGTTGGGTTTCAAACCAGGATGAAATGAACAGTAATGGCTACCCAGAGGAAAAAAGGAAAGCAGAATGTGATAACAGTCTTCTTTGTTTGGATGCTTTGGAAGAATTTTCTCAAAATCTGGATTTATCATCTTTTTCTGAGACATTTTCCTGTGGTAAGTTTACTTAGTATCCAAATTCTCCTCATCGTATGAATGCACACCTTAGTTTGTCAATAAATGCAGAATTCCTACAATTTTGACCAAAAGCGTGGCATGGAATTGAACCTGTAAACTACACAGGCCCTCAGATTTGATTTCTAGAGTGTAATGCAGTCACCACCTGGCAGAGTTGAGGGAATACTGGTCTCAGCATCATGAGATAAAGATGGAAAATATTGCCTAGGGCTTCCTATAGTTGGTCAGGGTAGAGCAATGCCTGAGCAAAATGCATGTAAAGAAAAATATCAGGTTCAGTGGTGATGTTGATTATACCAGCGTTCACTTTCCAAAAATGTTAGTGCAGCAATGGTTTGTTGGGAGGGAGGAATGGAAGGAAATTGGTATTAGTTAAAAAGAAAAGCCTTGGAGAAATTAATGGGCCTGAAAGCTGGTGAATCCCCAGAGCTTGAAAATCGACATCCCAGGATACTAAACAAGTTGGCCATTGAAATAATGAGTTGGTTGTCATCCTGTATAGATTCTGAAACAGTCTTGGCACATCGGAGTGTTGAAAATGTAAGTACTCTATTTTTAAAAATGTAGGAAGAGAGAGGACTGTAACTTAGCGACTGATTTTAGCCTACTGTCGGTAGTTGGGAAAATGGAGTCTGATCTAAGAAATGATCTGTCAGGACACTTAGAAAATACTAGTGGGATTACACACAATCAGCATGGATTTTTGAAAGGGAAATCACGTTTGGCAAACCTGGTGTGTATTTTTGAGGCCATCACTTATGAAATAGTGAAGGAAGAACCAGTGGATATATTTATACTTGGATTTCAGAATGTTTTTGATGAAGAGTTCCACATAAGAGGTGCAAAGTCAAAGCACGTGGGATTACTGGTAATATATTGGTGTGCTATTAGCAGATAGGAAACAAAGTAAGAATAAATTGATTGCTTTCAAAGTGGAAGGCAGTGACAAGTCAGATATTGCAGGGATCAGCCACTGGGCCCCAGCTGTTTACGATATATCAACGGTGTGGATGAAGGTATCAAATTTTTTTTTTTAAATGGAGCCAGGCAGAATGGAAACCGACCCTTCGCTCCACTAGCCCACACTGACTTCCTTTATGTTTGCTGTAAAAATGTAGGTGTGATTGAGGAGGATGTAAAGCGACTTCAAGGCAATTTAGACATATTGAATGAATAGAAGATGCAATAGAATGTGAATAAATGTGAGACTGTCTACTTCAGTAGCAAAAACAGAATGGCAGAGCATTATTTAAATGGTGATAGATTGAGAAATGTTGTGCATAAAGAGACTTGGCTGTCTTCGTACTATGGTTATTGAAAGCAAGCAGGTGGGTGCAATAAACAGTTAAGGTAAGTGGTATATTTGGCTTCCTTACAAGAGAGTATGAAGTAAAGAAGTTTTACAGCAGCTGTGCAAAGCCATGGTGGGACTACATCTGGAGTACTGTGCACAATTTTAATTTCTTTAAGAAAATACTTACCCAGGAGGAAGTGCAGTGAAGGCTTACCAGATTGATTCCTGACGTGACAGGTTTGGTCTGTGTGGAGAGATTGGTTGAGTAGACCTGCATTTGGAGGAGTTTAGAAAAATGCAGAGGCTCTGACTTGAAATGTATAAAATGCTGACAGGCTAGACGCAGGGATGATATTTCCCCTGGCCGGAGAGTCTCAAGATTTGTGATAGATCATTTGGTACTAAGATGAGGAGAAATTTCTTCTGAAAGTGGTGACCCTGTAGAATTCTGTACCACAGAAGACTTTGGAGGCCAAGTCACTAAATATACTCTGCCATTCTGTCTGCTTCAGTAGGAAAAACAATCTCACATTTATTCAAGTAACTAAATATATTTAAGAAAATGGTAGATTTCTAGAAGCTAAAGGTGTCAGAGGGTATGGGGAGAGAGTGGGAGTAATGTATTGCAATAGAGAATCAACGTGAGCATGTTGAATGGCAGCATGACTCAACAGGCCGAATGGCCTATTCCTGCTTCAACGTTTTATGTTTTCCAACTCATGAATATTGGTAACTGGGTGAAAATACTGTGTGGAAGGATTCTGTTACCATATGACAAGGTGAATCATATATTTACTTCTAGTGTTTTTCCTTTACTGCAACTGTCATAGAGTCATACAGCATGGAAACGGACCCTTTGGTCCAATTAGTCCACGCCAACTATGTTCCCACCTCCTGCATTTGGCCCATATGCCTCCAAACCTTTCCTATTCATGTACTTTTCCAAACGTCTTTTAAGCATTGCTACTGTACCTGCATCCACCATTTCCTCTGGCAGTTCATTCTACACATGAGCCACTGTAAAAAGGGTTGCCCCTCATATCCTTAAATCTTTCTCCTGTCACCTTAAAAATATGCCCCCTAGTTTTGAACTCCCCCCACCCGGGAAAATACCATTGTCTTTCACCTTATCTATGCCCCTCATGATTTTATAAACATCAATAAGATCACCCCTCAACCCTCTATACTCCAGTGAAAAAAATCCCAGCCTGTTTTTATAACTCAAGCCCTCCATTCCTGATAACATCCTGGTAAATCATTTTTGAACCCTCTCCAGTTTAGTAATATCCTTCCTATAATGGGGTGACCAGAACTGCACACAGTTCACCAGAAAAGGCCTCATCAATGTTTTGTACAGCTGCAACATGATGTCCCATTCCTATACTCAATGCACTGACTGATGAAGGCAAGTGAGCCAAATGCCTTTATCACCACCCTGTTCACCTGCGACTCCACTTTCAAGGGAATATGCACGTACACCCATATGTCTCTTTGTTCGTCAGCTCTGTCCATGAACCTTACTGTAACTGTATAAGTCCTGTCCTGGTTTCCCTTCCAAAATACAACACCTTACCTTTATCTAAAATAAACTCCATCTGGATGTCCTTGGCCCATTGACCCATATGTTCAAAATTCCATTGTATTCTGAGATAATCTACTTCTCTGTCCATTACACCACCTATTTTGGTATCATCAGCAAACTTACTAACCATACCTCCGATATTCACATCCAAATTATTTAAATAAATGACAAAAACCAGTGCCTCCAGCACTAAACCTTGCAGCACACCGCTGATCACAGGCCTCCAGTCTGAAAAGCAACCCTGTACCACCACTCTGTCTCCTGCCTTCAAGCCAATTATGTATCCAGTTGGATCCCATGTGATCTAACCTTACTAACCAGATTACCATGTGGAACACCGTTGAACACTTTGCTGAAGACTGTATACACCACGTTTACTGCTCTGACTTCATCAATCCTCTTTGTCGCTTCTTCAAAAAAACCCAATCAAGTTAGTGAAATACAATTTATCCTGCACAAAGCCATGCTGACCATCCCTAATCAGTCCTTGTCTTTCCAAATGCAAATCCTGTCCCTCAGAATCCCCTCCAACAACTTACCCACCACTGATTTCAGGCTTACCGGTCTATTAGTTCCCTGGCTTTTCCTTAGCACCTTTCTTAAATAATGGCACCATAGCTAACCTCCAATCTCTGGCACCTCATCTGTGGCTGTTAATGACACAAATATCTCAGCAAGAGGCCCAGCAATCTCTTTGCTAGCTTCCCACAAAGTTCTAGGGTATGCCTCATTAGGTCCCAGGGATTTATCAACCTTTGTGCATTTTAAGATCTCCAGCACCACCTCTTCAGTAATATGAGCTTTTTACTCACTTTGAATACAGTTAATGGTTATTTAAGTTAGTGATGTGATTTCTGTTCAAGAATTAAGCTAGTATGGGATTCTTCTCTCCGTCCTTGACCATTAATAATCGGTGAGACAAATGTGCTATTTTTATCTATATGTGACTTAATAGCTGTCCTTTTAGAAATTGGTCACAAAATATAAAGGACCATATTTCCTAGATAACAGTGTGGAGCTGGAGGAACACAGCAGGCCAGGCAGCATCAGAGGAGCAGAAAAGCTGACGTTTCTGGTCGGGACCTTTCTTCAGAAAAATAAAGCTTTGGCAGTTCTTACTATCTCTGAAGGACAATATTTCCTCACTGGTTACAACAGTAAAGTTGCGTTTCTAATCTGTCTCATGCATCTGTGCGCTCTATTTCGTCTGTGCCCCTAAACAATATTATTTGTTCAGCTGAATTTCTAATTGGTTAAAAAAAAACAGTAAAACTGCCTGCAACTGTCCAGTTTTTGCAATCTCATTACCAAATTATCTACTGTAGAAATTGGGGATAAAGATTTGAAAGCACAAGTGAAAGACTGGAAAAAATGAATTGAATAGTTTTTACCGTGACAGAATGTGAAAAAGCTGTTGTCAGCAATTTCAAAGTGCAGAAATCTGCATGTATGTACTGATTGTGTCAACGCGCTTTACATAATGGCAAAATTATTAGATATAAAATATGTCTTTACGGATAAAGAGAAATGCTGTTGAAGCTTTGTCTTGCACTCATCAGGACAGACGCAAAGGGAAAATCTAATAGGGATCTGAATGAAGTGGGGTATGGAAATGTGGGAGAAACTCACGAGAAGTTCAGTAAGGCCTATCTGGATTTCATCCTTCTCCATTCATGCAACTGCCTGAGGCCATGTGTGCATACATTCAGCTGTGTTTGCCTGTGTATAGAGCAGTGGTCACCTATAACTTGTTTAAATTCTTCCAACATGGTCGACTATTGAGCTGTTGGCACTTGGCACAGGTTATCAGCACTTGACCAGAACGTGTATGTGTGTGCAATTGACTGCTCCATATTATCCACGAGCTGCAATATTTCTTTTTTTTTTTTGGAAAAATAATGCATTCTTTCCACACATTGGGCCCATTCCTTGACAGCAAGATCCAATGAGTCAAGCTTCCCAAACAAAGGCTTGATTCAAGAAATGCTTACCCCAACTCAAAGATGACTGTTGCAAGCAAGGATCATGTTTTACTCTCATCGCCACTGAAATAACTCCACAGAGGCCAGTGTCCCATCGCTATATTATCCTTTATTTACGCATGAACAGTCCTCGATCATAGTACTGCCTCATTCAGAGTCTGGTACCACAGTGTCAGTATCTCTGACACGCACCGTTTTTATATGTTAGCCAGGGCTCCCTGATTGGACCAGACTAACAGCCCTAATCAGGGAACTCATTCTGTTATGTCCAGCTGGCTGACCTTATTACAATCACTACATGTTTTTCCTCCTCTTTATCATTAGAATTTTACTGTTCACCCAAAGCATCTTCATAGATATCCTGGTATAAATGCCTTGAGGTGGCCTTGTTTTTGCTCAGTATGAATGGTGGTGCCTGGTGTATTGTTACATGTTCCTCAACTGCTGATGTCCTCAGGTCTGGGTTGTCTAACAGGCAGTGTCTGGGCCAGAATCCAACCTACCATGCCTGTCTATCTGACCCAAGGACTTGCTGTTAAAAATACAAGTAAATGGAATTGAGGGATCTACGAGGAATTGCTCTTGCAATTACAGGCCATTTTTCTCCCATGTTTGCTGTTGATAAAGCTCACCAGTAAGAAAGAGGTACACAATCAGTGATTGGAGGAGCAGCAAACACAATGTGGGTGAGTAGCTTTTCTTTTGATTTCATGGCCATGATGTATTCTGTCCCAATCTTTGGCAGTGCTCTCCCTTGCCTGACCCTCTAAAGGAACATGAGTGGGCTCGGGAGGCCTCAGGGATTCAACCCAGGCAGCTGAAATTTAAATAGGGTGGAATGAACAAGTGCGTCTTACCACCTTCAATTCCTCCTCTGTAATAAAATGTTCAATCTTCATGGGTCCATGGACCATAACCCAGTTATAAGTTCTTGCAACTTATTTAATTACAATTTCAATAAGCTAACTTGGCTAATAGTCAGAGGTAGTAAGAACTGCAGATGCTGGAGTCAGAGACAACACAGTGTGGAGCTGGATGAACACAGCAGGCCAGGCAGCATCAGAGGAGCAGGAAAGTTGACGTTTCGGGTCGGGACTGTTCTCCGCTGTCTTTCCTTTCTGCATCACATTGCAACCTTATATTGATGGCTAAAAGGAGAACCCAGACTTGGAGATTGTTTGAAAAAAATATGAATGCAAAGTAATCTAAAACAAAAACTAAATGGGGAGAAAAAGAATATCACGTGGAGCTTTCATTGTTATTATTAGCAAGCAGAGTGCATAGTGTAATCTCATTCTCAGCAGACAAGAAATTATACTAAATGCTGTCAAGATGTGCAAACATATTAGTGCATCACACCAATTGGACAGGTATCCAACAGAAACATTTTGTCAGCAATTCTTGTATGCACCTTCCATGTTAGTGAGAGCATTCTTCTGGTTGAAAATTTTGCTTTCAGTCTGTTGTATGTTGCATCATACCATCTGTCAGCACCTTCATATTCTGCTTAGTAAATTAGGCTTTCTAAATTGCAGACAGAGCCATAATTCTTTTTTTTTGGTCTGGTGCTCAGCTGACTGAACTTCCATGACTTTATAAATGACTCAAAAATTGTGGCAGCAGTATCAAAGGTAAGATTGAGATGAGAGTGAAGGGAAGGTGCAGCAGGGGAATTTAGCGTGATTCAAACTCTCATTGAATTTCCTGAGGATAAGCAATACTGCATATTTATCTGTATTCGATACAGTTAAAGAACATCATAGCTGAGACACAGTGCCCATGGCACCGTTTGCCCCCCAAAAAATAACATTTATCTTAAATCAACAGATTTCTCTCCTTTCGCTTATTTTGTCACAAAGTCATTTTTACAAGTTGACTGCAGGAAATGGTATTCCACACAGTTTTAATTGCTGGCCATTATACCTAACCAGAAAAATGTTCATTAGTTTTTTTTAAGAAATGAACGTTATTTGCCTGCTGTTGTGAAGAATGAATGATGATGGAGCTTTAAAGTCAGGCTCCATGACGAACTTCTGTACCTTCTGTAGCTATGTGAAATGTGCTGTGAAACATCTTGGTGTATTTTTGGTTTTATTCTTAGAAAGCGATACTGAAGAATCCATAATAAAGGATGAAGACTTTACCTCAGAAAAGAAGACTGATAATGCTGCTGGAGAGGAGGTCAGTTGAAGATGTTGCATTGGGTTGACGTGTTATTAAAGTAGAATCTATTGTAGAATGTCAATACATCGTTAAAAACAAGATTGCAAAATCTACGTGCCTCCTGTAAGTCATCAACCAGTCTATGGTTGTTGGTGGGAGCCCTACAATGCTAAAGTCCCTTCCATGACACTGAAATCATATTGATCAAATTTGTCAATCATCTGAGCTAAATGCACATTTGTGATTATCACATTTTGGTCTGCTTCCCTGGAATTTCTCAATTTTACTTAGATAGTTTAAGGATACCACAAGATCTGACCAGGTACTTTGTAGGTGACCCGTGGCTGAATGTGCCTAATAAGAATGCACAAAACCCTAAGAAGTGCAGCAGTATAGTTTCTAGGAGGGCAGTGAATCTCATTGCAATTAAACATACCTGTGCTGAGGCTTGTTTCCGTGCAGAATTGGAGAGAAAATCCCTAAAAATTGTGACTTAGTGTGACCTTTTTCTAGGTTTTTATAGCCACATCTTGTTAGGTTTCTCTAGCAGCTTTGCTATCAGGTCGCCTCCTACCTACCTGACAAATAAATGATGCTATAAAAATAGCCTAGTGTTGTGCCAAAATTGGCATCAGGCCACAGCTTCTACATTTCTGCTAGTTCTTCCTTGGTTTGTTTGAAAGTTGACAAGGATAAACTGCTGTTTAATGGAAGCTGTGCAACCTAGGGATAGTAAATCAACTTGTCCAATTTTTTAAAAAATCTGCATTTCAGTACCGGATGGGTTTAAGCTCCATCCCAGTTCTCAAAATTCTTAGATTGATTTGATAGTGGTGCCAGGTGATTAAACACTTGCTGTAATGACTTGAAATTGTCCTGTTGTTCACTTCCATCAATGCTGTAGAAAAGCTATGTCTTTCAGTCAGTCCTCCATTTAACTTGTCGCAGATTCGATAAATTTCCTGACAGTAAGGAGAGTCTCAACCAAAACGACAACTAATATGGTGAGGGGAGATTCCCCTTAATTTTTTAAACTGAATTTTCAAAATTAATTTTTAATTTAATTTTTCTTAATTTAAGCTGTTGAGTGTTAGTTGAATGTGAAAGAGCTAACTCATCACTTTCGTGTCTGCTTTTCTGTTAAAGTTGCAGTAGACAGAAAAATAGATCCGTTGGAGGCAGAAAAAAATCCCTTTGTTTCACTTAGATTTCCACTGTTATTTTGTATGCGCTTCAATAGCAGAGGTGATTTGGGATAATGCAAGGCCAAAAGCATTAATTCCTGCTTTCTATGTTCGTTGATCAGTTGGGAAGTTTACCAAATTTTGTATGTTAAATTTTCCAACAATTAGAAGATAGAGTCAAGAGTGCATTGTCTTTCCTCCCTTTTCCTCTCCCAAAACATGCCTTTTGTGACAAGCTGGCATCTTTGGCTTCAATTTAGAGAGCCTTGTTTTTCAAATGTTCTGTCAGTTTTACAGTATTAAAATCATACAGATAAACTTAAAAGAATTATCTGTAAATATCTGGTAAAATTCTGGAATTTAAAGCTGGTCTCATGGTGACCATGGAATCACTATTGACTCTTGTAAAAACCCATCTGGTTCACTAATGACCTTTAAGGGAAGGAAATCTGTCATTGTTATCTGGCTCTGGCCTACTTGTGACTCCAGACCCACAGCAATGTGATTGACACTCAATTGCCCACTGGGATAGACAGTAAATGCTGGTGTAGTCAGTGACATCCACATTTCATGAATGATACAAAAAAAAATTAACGTGGAACAGTACAGCACAGGAACAGGCCCTTCGGCCCACCATGTCTGTGCCGACCATGATGCTGTTCTAAACTAATCCTATCTGCCCACACATGGTTCACATCCCTCATTTCCCTGCCTGTTCATGTGTCTGTCCAAATGCCTGTGAAACGTTGCTATTGTATCTGCTTCTACCACCCCCCTTAGCAGAGTAGTCCAGGCTCCTACCACCCTCTGTGTAACAGACTTCGCATTACACATCTCCTTTAAACTTTCTCCTTCTCATCTTAAGCCAATCATAATATTTGGAGCCAAAACTGCTGGTTGAAACTGTGTTATTTAAGATGAATGAAACTGAATCAGCAATGTTTGTGTACATCATCCTTGATAAGTTAAGAGTCCAGGACAGAACCTTTTGTATTTAGATTAATTTTGTTTAGTCCATTATTTGCCTCCTGTGATTTATTATTTAAACTACTACAACTGCATTCCATCACAGTCAAGACCAATTATTGCTCATAAAAAGACTGCAATGAGTGTCAGAAAAGCAGGTTATAATTCCACATCAGGTTCTGCAGTGGTCATGTTCCTACCTCTGGACCAGTAGGCCTGGGTTCAAGTCTCACCTACTCCGGAGGTGTGCAATGACATCTGTGTACTGGTTGCTTAGAAAATATCTACAATCCCATGTCAGTGGGGTTTAGTCTTAAATGTATGGAACAATCAACATTAATTACTTGAGTGAAGCTGAAATAGTAAGTGAGAGGAAAGAACTGTTGACAGCTTTCCTATAGAGAAATCATTATCCTTCAAGCGTAGCCAAATGTATGGAAATAAAATCTGCAGTTAAAGCTATTGCCGATGCTCTTAATTATTCCTCATGTGATTTTCAGTGAAGCAAATGCATGCGTTCCTAAGCTTTCATTAATTAGAATCCCTCAGAGTCCTATAACTCCTCACTGGTGGGTTTTATCCATATGGAGCAATTCTCAATTTTGAAATTAATTTTAAAAATAGCTAATGTGCGATTATAATTTAGTTGCCAATTTAGTGCTGAATAATGAACAGTTTTGTGCATGCATCTTCTTTCTCTATAGAGTTGACTGTGTCTCCACATTTACAGGTGGTAGGGGAGAAAACAAATCCATGGGCCCAACAGATAGTCTGGTGACAGGGATTAAAGGGCATTGGGGGCTAAAATCTATAGTAATGTGGCAATTGTGAAGTGCCATTAACTCATGTTTGTTTAATGCGATATAGATAGAGCGTGACATCTTTGTACTGCCTGCTCATTTGCATGATTTCTTCAGGTAGTCAAGCAGCTTAGACATTGCTACTGTGATTGCTTTAGGGGAATCTGCATCTGATGAGACACCAGGTAGCCAAGGTAGGGACCAGTGCACAGAAGGCAAGGGAGCATGTGAGTTCTGCAGATATCTTCTGCAGTTAACTTTGTTGAGGACTCAGGGATGCATAGAGTATCGCTGCTGGGTCTATGCAACAAAATGTTTGGTGCATTAGGAAGCTTGCTAGAAAGCCTGTGGACAGTGTCAGGGAACATGGAAGTATCTGGTTTCAGCATGGTACAGGGCTTGCATGCAACTTCTAGGATTAATAGAGATAGGTTGATGCCAACTTGAAGGACTGAAGAACCTGTTCTGTCTGTACATCTCTAATTTGATGCTTATCTTTCCCGGCAGGGAAATGATAGCCATCTCCATTTTCACGCTGTGATCCAACTGTCAATTGTTGTTGGCCAATGCTGCAGGTTTCATTGCAACAGAAGCAACAACCACCCAATATCTGTCTGTCTGCTCTGGTGGAAGTCTGTACACCTATTGGCTTGCTGTTGTGCAACGAAAGCCCTTGCTGCTGTCAGTATGGCTGTGGATAATTATGCAGACTGGTTGGCAGTGTGTCTCTGTAGTTCAACAATCTGCCCTATAGCAGCAGCACTGAGTCCATGGAACAGGAGCCTGCTGGGATGACAGTTTGCCACCTGCCCACTGCTCATGCTGTTGCCTGGAGCCAGCCATAGAGTTATTCAGCATTGAAACAGACCGTTTGGTCCAACTAATTCATGCTGATCATGTTCCCAAACTGAACTAATCCCATCTGCCTGCGTTTGGACCATATCCCTCCAAACCTTTCCTATTCGTGTACTTATCCAAATGTATTCTAAATGCCATAATTGTACCTGCATCCACCACCTCCTCTTGCAGTTCATTCCACACTCTAACCACTCTGTGCTTCAAAAAAAAAGTTGCCCCTCATGTTCTTGTTGAATATTTCTCCTCTCACTTCAAAAATCTGACGCCTAGTTTTAAACTTCCCCACTATAGGATGAAGACCTTTTTTATTCACCTTATCTGTGCTCCCACGTGCCAAGCGGGTGCAATCTGAATCAAGAACTTTAGACCCTGAGCTATAAAAGGGCATCTGAAAGCAGCTGCCAAGTAGCACTTTATGGATGTACAAGAAGAGGCAAAGTTGCATTGGTAGAAAGGCACCAAGGGATAGTATAATTAGTTACTATTTGTAAAAACTATGAGATGATTTAATTTATAGACTTGGTTTGCAGTGGCTGTTTTTAAAATTTATCTATTGTGTAATGAGTAACTGGGATTGTGCTGATGAGTGGGGAGTTGGGTTGTATCTCACTTGAACTAGAGCCAGGCTAGAAAGGGACACTTATGTTGCTGCTTTTGTTCTTCTACCTTCTCCACTTCCAACACCCCATCTTCCTCCTCCCTTTTCTAGCAGGTTGTCACCCTCTGTTCATTTCTCCTGGTTGTGCTGTACACCAAGAGAAGGTATACTTTGTGCACCTGTGTCTGGAAACAACTGGTCGTTACAGAAGCTGTGAGATCAGCAACAAAGTACTTTGTCACCTTCCCTCTAATGCCCTTTCACTTTTCAAATTTGAAACAATTAAAGGAAACATCAGAAAATGTAAAACTGTAGCAAGGTCCAGAAGAAATCAACCAACAACTGACCGAAGTAGCGGGTGATCCTTTTAAATAGTGCTGTTGGAGAGGCGGAGTTCTTCCTGCTTTTCTGCCGGAAGTTCTCTTCAGCTGTGCCAGCTTAAGAGAAGGCATTAGTGGAACCTTCAAGCTGCAGTATGGCGGTGCTGGTGTCAATTGGCATTGTCCTGTAATTGATATCATGACCTAATGCCCACCACCGGGATTGTGCCCAGCATACTACTTATTGTGTTGTGTGTCTGCGTGCGTGCCTGGGATGCCACTTTGGAACTCTAGCGGACAGTGTTCATGTCTAAAAATTGAACACTACAGATTTTGCTCTTTGTAACCTGTGATCCCCAAATAAGCAACCCTCTGTGTAGTTATACACTAATGGCAGTACTGATTTTTTAAAAAAAAATGTCATCTTGTTTTTAGAAGACAAGTACTGTCAGAGAAGATGAGTCAAATAAAGGATCGCAGGAGCTTATTCCAGCAGACTTTGTAAATTCACAGATGCAGCAGCAACATGATAATGTGACAAAACAGCTCAATCATGTCAAAGCTTTAATGCAAGCAAATCAATTATTGACAGAAGGACTTCGAAATAAGTTGCTTCAGATCTGGTGCCATATGCCTAAAAATGAAGTAAGATGCTCATTAAAATTGTTTTTCCTTATTTTCATTCTATCAAAGCAATTTTAAAAAAATTCATGTGATGTAGGTTGTCTGGCTAGTCCAGAATTTATTGCCCATTGTAGCAACAAAAAAAAACCTGTATGAATATTCAGTTTATAATTGACATTCCAATATGTGTTGAGAATACTACAATAAAAGTAACATATGTAAAATTCCTTTTATGTTACATACAGAATTACTACTGGTAGGACTTGTTTCACACTAACAGGCTTTTCAGCCCAGCTGGTCAGTTCTGGTGTTTATGCTCCTGGACATGATCATGGGCTGCCTCCTGTCTACTTAGACCTCAGCCTGTCACCAATCTTTAAGTTTCTTTCTCCATTACAGACTTAACCTAGTTTTTCCAAAGAGAGTCCTCTGTTATTCTCCTCAGTCACTCCTTATAGTAACTATTTCCACATTGTCAGCACTCTGAGTGAAGAAATTTTCCATGAATTTTCTGTTGGATTGATTTAATGTGTCTCCTATTAATGGCTCTTCGTTTTAAAGTCTCCCATTAATGGTGTGATTGTGCAAAATTTAACCCAAGATGACAGGGGCTTTGCCTGTCAACTAGAGAACCAGTCCCCTGTCACCTTCATTGGGGAAGGCCTGCTGTTTCTCTCACTCATCAGGAACTAAGATCCCAATGGCAAGGTATATACGTTTCCTGGAGGAAACGTATCCGGCTACCACCAGTTGGTTGCAGATATAACACAGTGTGGAGCTGGAGGAACATAGCAGGCCAGGCAACACCAGAGGAGCAGGAAAGCTGACATTTTGGGTCGGGACCCTGCTCCTGTGATGCTGCCTGGCCTGCTGTGTTCCTCCAGCTCCGCACTGTGTTATCTCTGACTCCAACATCGGCAGTTCTTACTATCTCTCACCAGTTGGTTGCAGTTGCTGCTAGCCAGAGGTTGGCAGCTCTCCATTGTAGACAGTGCTGACAGCTGCCAGATCCCCAGGAACAGTGAGGGCACTCAGGCCAGAAGTAAATGAGGGCAGATTTGGAGTTGCTATGTAGAGTGGAGTTGGTTTGGGGGTTGGGGGGAGTGCGGGTGTTGTCGCTGACTAACAGGTGTGGCTCTCAGTGGGCTCCCCACTTTGATGATGTACTGAAGTCATTTTGAACGAGGGAGCCCCTTTTTCTCAGAGAGCTCACAAAGAAACCCAGTAAGGGATTGATTTCTGGCCTAATGGTAGCGGTAACTGGTTTGGATGTTTGGAAGGTGCTGTCAAAGAAGCCTTGGTGTATTGCAGCAGTGCACCTTGTGGATTGTACACACTGCCACTGTATGTAAATGGCGAAGGGAGTGAATGTTGAGGTTGGCAGATGGGGTGCATGAATCTGTAAAGGTTAGTACGCAGTTACAACAAGTAATTAGGGAAGCTGATAGAATGCCATTGTTTATTGGAAGCACAAAAAAGCGGAGTTTATATTTTAGTCATACATGGTATTGGGAAGACCACACCTGGAGTACTATGTACAATAATTGTCTCCTCATTCCAAAGAATAATGTGAATTTGTTCAAAGCAGTTCATGGAAGACTTACTAGAGTAGTACCAGGAATGGGTGAATTATCTTCTGAGGAAAGGTTGAACAGGCTAGGTTTGTATCAAGTACGAGGTGACGTGATCCTGAGGGGTCTTAATGGGGTAGATGTGGAAAGATTTCATTCTCTTGTGGGGAATCTAGAACTAGGGCTATAGTTTTAGAAAGGAAAATACAATGTCTATTTAAAGACAGATAAAAAATCTGTCACAGAAGGTTGAGTCCTCCAAACTATCGTTGTAAAAAGATGTTGGAAGCACAGTGTTTGAATATTTTTAAAGCAGAGCTACATAGGTTCTTGATAAGCAAGGGTGTGAAAGATTGACTGGGATAGGTGAGAATCTGGAGTAGTCACATCAGCCATTACTTTATTGAATGGCTGGGCAGGCTGAAGGAGCTATGTAGCCTACTCCTGCTTTTAATTGGTGTGGTCTCTTCATCTGCCCTGTTGAAGTTCTTGGTAATGTCAAAGACTAATCAAGTACATAAATTTGTTAAAAAATTGAAAGTGGTAGAGGAGTTGGCATTTCATAACTAAAAATGGGAGACAAGTTGATAAAATTCCAAAGGACCCAATCTACGTGGGTTTGTAGGTATAATGAACAGACTTGTTGAGTTTCAAGGCAAAAAAAGTAGCACCAGTTTCTTAAACTGAATGATTAGCTGGTAAGATGACAGTTTGAATATTGTTATATTTTGGTGTTTCACTTTTAGTAAGATCTAATGATCTTGGAGGTATAGAAGACATTAAGACAATATCTCCTTTGAGAGTGATGGAGGAAGATGAAGGAAACTGTCTGTGTTAGAACATAAAGGGCAAAGATATTGGATAGACGTATTAACAACTATGAAGACCTTTCATAAAGTGAAGTAGGGAGAATTATGTTCCAGTGGATGCTGATTCAATGAGCAGAGGGTATGAATTTAAAATCAACATGAAAGGGAGAATATTCCATCAGAAATATTGGTAGAAATAGAACTCGTGAAGACTTATAAAAGAAAAATATGTATGTTTAAAAAAAATGACAGAGGAAACTTCCCTTATGGCCCTAATATATTTTCTCTTTTTTGTAAAAGGTGGGAAGATTCCAGGATGATGAAATTAGTGAAGTTGACACTGAGAGCATCCTTGCTGTACCTGGGGAGGAATCATCTGTGGCCAGTGTTTATGAAGATGATCACATTGTAGTGACAGAGCAGCGAAGTAATCTGTTAAAAGTAGCTGTAAAGAATGCACAGCGTGAAGGAACCAGTGGATGTGCTGAAATACACCACTTAATGAGTGATATAAGTTACCTTCATGACTATGATGAGAATGTAAAACCACAAAAGAACACGTGCCTGGGTGAGAGAGTGCCAGATCTAGTAGAAAACTCAGAGAAACAAAATGAGAGTCTTCGGGACCAGGCCACAAGTCCCACGTGTGACTCTTCTGGACTAGAACTGGTGGGCACAAGTGCATTGCAAAAAGAACAGTTGGCGATTAGCTTGAAGAACTTGGAAAATGCCACAATAGAAATGCAAGAGTATAATCAGAAGATCATGCTGGCGAAAAATGCAATTGAAGATACTGCAGAGACAGTTAAGACTCGATTGCAAAAAATTCAGTGTCAGCTTATGGAATTAGAGGTTGCCAACAGGAATCTTCACGTTCAGATTGGAAAGCTGAATGCTGATTACAGTCAAATGCAGGAACATCATCGATGTGTGGTTTGTGAGAACAAAAACTTAGAAAAACAGTGCGTTGATCTTCAGACAAATCTAAATAGTACAGCAGAAGAAAATGAGCATATGCTGACTGTAATAGACAAACTGGAGAAAAAAATAGAGGCTGCGCTTATGAATTTAGCTGAGATCAAAACAGAAAAAAATAAATTGGAACAACAAGTCCAGTCCTTAAAAGTAAGATTAAATCATGCTAGTTTATGTTTATACATTTTTCTTAGTATTCCATTTGAAAAGTACCTATAATCATGAATCAGAACATGGACAGCACGGTGCCTCACAGCGCCAGGGAACCAGGGTTCGATTCCAGCCTCAGGTAACTGTCTATGTGGAATTTGCACATTCTCTCCATGTCTGTGTGGGTTCCACTGGATGTTCCAGTTTCCTCGCAAAGTCTAAAGATGTGCATGTTAGGTGGATTGGCCATGCTAAATTGTCCGTCGTGTCCAGGGATGTGCAGATTGTGGATTAGCTATGGGAAATGCTAGGGACAGGGGTGGGGGTTCTGATGGAATGCTCTTTGGAGAGTCAGTATGGACTCGATGGGCCAAAAGGCGTGCTTCCATATTTTAGGGATTCTATGATTCTATTTTAACAGAATACCCTTACCTTTAATCAGAAACAGTTATGATTAACCGTCAGAGTTGTGCTTCATTTCTACTTGTAGTTGGATAGCATTAGTAATACCAGATAGGTATTAGTGCACAAAAATGAGTTAGATCGTGTTCAAAGCTCTTCTTACAAATGCTGCCTGCTAGCACAGTTATGTGGCTAAAATTTAACAATGTTAATGCCAGAAGACATACTGTTGAAAATTACAGGGTAACAACTATTCAGTTAATTCCAGAAAGTATCTCTGGCTAGTATGTTATTGATTGAAAGTAACGTGTAGGTTCTTGAAAGAACTATAATGACATATTCGACCCACAATCTAAATTTGTGCAGATTTCAGAAATTGGATATTCAGTTGAACTGTACATACATCTGTATATGGGCTGGTGTCATCTGGAGACTGTGAAATGTTCAGGATCGAACGGTTTCATTTATGTGAGCGGTTGTCTCACTGAAGGGCAACATATGGGAGATGTATGCACTTAACATTGACTATTTTGCAGCACTATCTCATTTTTGTATGATTGGTATTGAAAGTTTCAGAATGTCCAGAATATGACTTGAAGATTATTTTTTAAGAGTGTCGAATTCTTAGGGTCCAGATCTTCTGATAGGAAGTCGTTGTTACTGAAGTGTAGCTTGGAGTTGAGTGTTGGGAAGTTCTGATGCAGCTGACTACATGAGAATTTGCTTGGGAAGTTGAAACTTCCAACATAGTCAGAGATTTGAGTGGTTCTGACTGACATAGCTGTGTAGTTAACCAAAAAGTGTTAGGCAAATTAAAGGAGAGAGCAAGAATTGCAGGTGCTGGAGTTGGAGTAAATACAGTGGGGAGCTGGAGGAACACAGCAGGTCAGGCAGCATCAGAATCCCGATGAAGAGTCCCGACCTGAAACGTTGACATTCCTGCTCCTCTGATGCTGCCTGACCTGCTGTGTTCCTCCAGCTCCATACTGTATTACTTAGGTGAATTAAAGCCCGGCTGATTATAAAACTGACCTTTCCAACCCTGTGTCCATATTACCCATGGATACCAGACAACCTTTGCATTCATACCCACCTCACCCTGTCCCTGATTCCCCACCTTGCATCTCAATACCCTGGATGTCAAAAAGCCTGAATTGCAGCCCCCAATTCCCCCCCCGTCAACCACAGATTCCCCCCCTTGATCTACCATAATCTTGTTCCCTCCTTACCCTAAATGGACCTGACCCAAGTACCACCTCCCCTCATGGTTCCTCATGGACCACTATTCCAACCTACCCTAAGGCCTCACCCACTCACCTGGCACCCTCGCAAACTAGCACCCCATCTCCCTACCCACCAGTTGCCTTGGTGCAATAGCCAAGCACTCACCTGGCATCCTATCCCACTCTAGATAGGGAATCTTCATCCTTCAACTCTACCTTTCTACCCACTTAACATCCTGCCGTAACATACCTTGCACACTTACTACTTTGACAGCTACTGAGAGAAAATTTTTTTAATGGTTTTTCGCATAGATCTGTAGTCGGGTAGTGGATGAGGTTGTTGACTTGCTCGCCGAGCTGGCTTGCTTTCGTTCAGACATTTCGTCACCATGCTAGGTAACATCATCAGTGAGGCCTCCGATGAAGTGATGTTGCTCTACTCCACTTGGAATTTATACTGTGCGGTCCGTTATGGTGAGTTGTGTCATTTCCAGTTCTGTTCTATATGGGTTTGTGTATGGGATCCAATTCTATATGTTTGTTGATTGTATTATGAGTTGAGAACCATCCTGTGTATGTCTATGTTTGGCTTGGGCTACTACGGTTACATTGCCCCAGTTAAATTGATAGCCTTTATTGTCTGAGTGTACTGATATTAGGGAAAATTTGTCGAACTACACTTGGACAATGAGGCCATTAGTTTAACTGGGACAAAGTAACCATAATAGCCCAAGCCAAACATAGACAAGCACGAGAATTCCTAGAAGCATGGTTGTCCACCCGTAATGTGATCAACAAACTCATAGAATTGGACCCCATATACAAACCTATACAGATCAAAACCGGAAATGACACAACTCACCATAACGGACCGGACAATATAAATTCGAAGTGAAGTAGAACGACATCACTTCATCGGAGGCCTCACTGATGATGTTACCTGGCATAGTGACGAAATGTCTGAACGAAAACAAGCCAGCTAGGCGAGCAAGTTAACAACTTCAAAATTTTGTTACCAATAAACTATGGATACTGAAGTTACTGTTGTAAAATGGGGGCATGTTTTCACCGAGCTACTCCAGTGCTTCATGTGTGGATAACTGGACTGAGCTGGGAATGCGAGACAACAAGGTGCAGGGCTGGATGAACACAGTAGGCCAAGCAGCATCATAGGAGCAGAGAGGCTGACGTTTCGGGCCTAGACCCTTCATCTGATGAAGGGTCTA